AGAATAATCAGTGATACTAAAAGGAAGATAGTCCGAAGCGCAGGAAACAAAGTCCGAAGGTAAAAATGTCGGGTCTGATATTTTTGGGTTTTGGGTTAGCGGGTTATGTCGGGTTATGTCAGATTAGCGTCGGGAATGTAATGAATGTTGGGGATAGCGAATGTCGAGTTTACTGTCAGTGTTTTTGGAGTGTTTCGGATAATGAAAGGATGATATTTGCGGAATTCAGCGAAGAACTACAAATATCTAATGACCTCCTCCTACTCGGAGGTAGAAAGATAAATAAGTAAGTAGGAGGTATGCGAAATATATAGTGTCTATGTAGAATTTCGGAATGCTATAGGCGAAAGTAGTAGCGGTATTTTTCGGGTCTGATGTCCCATGTAATAAGACATGTGGTACTGCAGACATGTAATAACGTGATCTACAGTGTTAGCAATGTGATAACATTTTTTATTTTATGAAAATGCACCTTGACAGTCTGAACCCATTGAATGCTGCATTTTTTTCTATTAGAACATGCCTTGAATATTGAATCATAGACAGTCTCTCGGACACGGATCTTCATCAGTCTTAGTTGAGTTGCAATAAGACAAGATAGATTCTGTGTTGACAGCTACTGATCTAACCACAACTGTCCCCAGTTGTGTGTTCAGTATCTTGTCTTATTGCAACTCAACTAAGACTGATGAAGATCCGTGTCCGAGAGACTGTCTATGATTCAATATTCAAGGCATGTTCTAATAGAAAAAAATGCAGCATTCAATGGGTTCAGACTGTCAAGGTGCATTTTCATAAAATAAAAAATGTTATCACATTGCTAACACTGTAGATCACGTTATTACATGTCTGCAGTACCACATGTCTTATTACATGGGACATCAGACCCGAAAAATACCGCTACTACTTTCGCCTATAGCATTCCGAAATTCTACATAGACACTATATATTTCGCATACCTCCTACTTACTTATTTATCTTTCTACCTCCGAGTAGGAGGAGGTCATTAGATATTTGTAGTTCTTCGCTGAATTCCGCAAATATCATCCTTTCATTATCCGAAACACTCCAAAAACACTGACAGTAAACTCGACATTCGCTATCCCCAACATTCATTACATTCCCGACGCTAATCTGACATAACCCGACATAACCCGCTAACCCAAAACCCAAAAATATCAGACCCGACATTTTTACCTTCGGACTTTGTTTCCTGCGCTTCGGACTATCTTCCTTTTAGTATCACTGATTATTCTAATACTTACAGCGAACCCCTTGGGTCGAACACACTTGTCTTGCAAGTATAGCAGACTAGGCTGTGCAGACCACAACATTATTATATTGCTGATTACTTACTTCGTGTAGTATCCAGCAATTGTTGTCTCATTACAACGGGTACGAGTCTGTGGTCTGACAACTTGACTAAGACTAATGAAGATTAATATTTGAGATGCTGTCTATGAGCAGATATTCAAGACATGTTCTTATAGAAAAAATGTGTCGCTCGACAGGTTTCAAACCTGCAGACTTCAATGGAAACAGATTTTGAATCTATTGCAGCAATGACATGGCTAACATCAGTGAAGTTGAGCTTTTGAGAAAACCATTCATGAGACAATGTTAAAATGTGTTGTTATAGAAAATTAACATTTATCATTGGCAGGTTTGAAACCTGCACATTCCAAGAGAAACAGATTTTGACTTTAGTGATCACTTGACAATTTCATCTTCAGCAGGTTTTGAACCCACACAGACAGATTTAGATTCTGTTGTATTGACTGCTTGGCTAAGACCAATAAGATGCACTTCCAATGAACTCATTCAGAAGTGAACCCTCAAGGCAGTTCTTTCAATAGTATGGTCACCATGATTGATTCTTTTATTCTGTTGCATCTATGCATTGTGGTCTGTAGCTGGGAGTATCCTTCAGCATGACATATAAATAAAATGATGAAAATGTACCAGCAGTATTAGATTGGACAACAGATGGACATGTAATGTAGGGCATGCACAGAAATGCAGTGCTTGGTATGGGACAGGATGTGATTTCATAAAATAAAAATATTATCATTGGCAGGTTTCAAACCTGCACAGTCCAAGAGAAACAGATTTTGACTCTGATGATCACTTACAACTTCATCTTTGACAGGTTTTGGACCTGTCACAGACAGATTTGGATTCTGTCATATTAACTGCTTGGCTAAGACCAGTTAGATGCACTCCTATTGAATCTATTCAGAAGTGAATCCTCAAGGTACATTTATCCTGCATTTTGTCAGTTCCAACATTAATTTCTAACATCACCCTTGAGCTCAACCATATGTGATCCTTCTATTGTCGTGACTCGGTGAAGGTTCAATGATACTGTGAGGCACAAACGAGGCTCCTGACTGTATCTATAAATGTTGTAAGGTCACGCGTTGCCTAGTCTGCTATACTTGAGACGACAAGTGCATTTGGCCCTAAAGGGGAAGTGAGTGCAACAAAGATCTAGTAGTAGGCGCTACTGGTTGGCTGATGTGAAGTGCGGGAAAGTGCGCGTGTGTATATAGAGATATGAGATGTAAGTGCTACTTTCTAGGGAGGGATTCCAACTAAGCTGAGTTGTATAGTGTGAACATGGGGGTTGCTAAACTACTTTCCAGTATGTACTACTGGTGCTTATATATGGTGCCTAAGCGCTACCAAGTAAGGTATGTAAAGATATATGTAAGTAAGGGTCCATGACAAAATAAAGGTGGAACGATATGCAAATAAGAGAAATGGAAATATACGCACTAGAGAGCTTGGTGGACAGTGGATGGATGCTTCCGGATGGCTGACACTATAGGGCACTCAAGCGCGAGAAAGGCGCACGTGCGAGGCGCGAGAATGTGCGCGCGCATGTTGCGCGGGAAAGCTGCACCTCATATAGGAATAGCTGCGGATAGCATGCAGAGTGATGCTACAAGTTCATGCCATGTACTCCCTAGTGAAAACTGCCATATCACACAATGAGAGGCACAAGTCTCTACATCGGTTGTTAATCCCAAGACATCACGAACATCATCGGCCCACCATGGTGGTCTTCCATCAGCACTTTCTTTGAGCAATTGCTGGATAAACAGGTCTTGAAGTAGAGGCCCTGGAGAAGTCTGATGTCTTTTGCGATAAGAGTAGAATAAAAGAATCAATCATGGCGACCATATTATTGAAATAACTGACAAAATGCAGATAAATATGCCTTGAGGATTCACTTGTGAATGGGTCCATTGGAGGTGCATCTAACTGTTCTCAGCCAAGCGGTTAATGCAACAGAATCTAAATCTGTCTGCGTGGGTTCAAAACTCGCCAAAGATGAAATTATCAAGTGATCACCAGAGTTAAAATATGTTTCTCTTGTACTGTGCAGGTTTGAAACCTGCCAGTTGCACCATTTGTTTTCTATAAAAACACACCTTGAAATATGCTCATGGTCGGTTTGCTTGCAAGCTGATCAAAGTTGTCTTTAGCCAAGTGGTTGTTGGAACAGAATCAAAATCTGTTTCCATTGGAATGAGACAGGTTTAAAACCTGTTGAATGTCACATTTTTTCTATGAGAACATGCCTTGAATGTTGGCTCATAGATGGTATCTCAGACATTGATCTTCATCGGTCTTAGTCAAGTTGTAGCCAGAGTTAAAATCTGTATCTCTTGAACTTTGCAGATTTGAAACCTGCCAATGATGATGTTTTTATTCTATGAAATTAAACCCTGATATTTCCTGGTGGATAGTTTTCTTCAAAACCCATCATAAATGCTCTTTTCCATATCATTGCCACAATAGATTCAAAATATGTTTGAATCAAAGCCAACAGGTTTGCAATCAGTCAAATGATGCATTTCTCAGATTTTGAATCTATTATGGCTAGTGATGTGCTGGGCCGGGCCTCAGGCCCTCAGGCCCTCAAGCTGAGCCCTCAGTAGGCCAGGCCAAGCCAGGCCTACACTACCGGCTTGTGAGGGCCTAGGGCCTGGCTCGAGTTTTTCCAGGCCCAAGCCCTGGGCCTGAGCCCTGGCTTTCCCAAAGTGGAACATCCGGCGGCAGATCGAAAACTGTACAGTTTCAATCTCAAAGAGGCAGGTACGTACCTACTGCTTGCCTACAACGTTAAGTCTTCTCACAGACGTGCCTGTCATTGTATCGGATGATGAATCATCCATGCATGTGGTCTCTCGTGCGCGCCGGCCTATCACCCTCTCTTCTCAACTCACTGACGCCAACAACGATGCCACACCCGAGCTTTCCATCCACTGAAGCAAACCACAACCTCTGCCGCCTGCAACCTTGCACTCTCACTCCATTTCAAAACCAACACCAATCAGCAACAAGCGGGGCGCTAATGAAGCACTAAGTGTGCTATCAGATGGCACAGATTGTGAAATTGAGGAGGGTGCACCACAACAAAGTACATATATCACCAGTTTTTGTATTATGTGTTTGCAAACCTCTCTCACAGGCAAACACTTGCGTCATGCGGGCGATGTTGGCATCCCAGGTCTCACAGGTAAGTTTCTTGTATTCTTTTTGATGGATCACTCATTAATTTGCTCACCGTGACTCAGATCGTGATGTGGCATCAACAGCGCCTTCACATGTCGAGGATACAACAGATGATGGACTCGACAGACTCGATGGACTTGACGGACTCGCTGAACATGAGGGTAGTACTACATCTGGTATGTATATTCTTCAATATATGTTTCTGCCCTCATCTCACTTCTATTGCAGCGCCCACTGTATCTCAATGGCTCGAGGATGTCGCTGTCCAGGACACCACCACAGCTGACATCAAAATACGCCAGGAGGATAAGACCCTCGATGTCAGTGCATTCTTCAGCAAGCCATATGGACACAAGTCAAAAGATGGGAAGACTCGCAATGTGTGTGACTGTGAGGTGTGCAAGTAAGTTCTTACTTTTTGTTATTATATTTTCATCTAGCTGATATACTGCAGGAAAAAAGGTCGTGCGCATCAAATTGTCAGTGATGCATCAACATGTCGCTGTCACCTTGCATATTTACACCTTGTATGTTCATGGTGGTTTGTTTGTTTGATGTACTGACTTTAATATCCTCCTAGGATACTTATCGAAAATGGTGCACCAACAATAACTTTGCATCCATGCTACCGAGTGATGTGAAGGCTCGCAAGACAGTGGCCACAATCGCCAATGCACAGCAAACCTCCATTGATGGTCACGTCACAGAACTTCCTAAACATACTGTTGTTGTACCTTACACAGCTGCACTCTTTCGCGAAGCTGCTGTTGAGTGGTTGATCTCAACTAGCCAGGTGTGTACTTAAGTCACATTAGGGCATACTTTACATTGATTGATGTCTTTCAGCCAATCCAGGCTGTTGACCATCCCAGCTTCAAAAAAATGATTGATGTCGCATCTCGTGCTACGAACGGTGTCATTATACCTAATCGCAAGGCCACATATTGTGATATCATGGATTTATTCAAGAACCAGATGATGAAGCTCAAGGAAAGACTTAATGTATATTTGTACTAGTATTAGAACTACAACTCGTGTACTGACATTTTTTGCATAGAGTAAAGTTGTGTCAGGTGCAGTCAACTTGACATGTGATGCCTGGCAAGCAAGCAATGTCGACAGGTATTTTGCTGCCACTGGTCACTGGATCGAGGAGTCGTCACCTGGCATCTGGGAGCTTCAGTGTGCCGTCATTGGCTTCACTATACTTAACAACTCCCACAATGGACAGCGCCTTGGACAAGCCTTATACAAGATTGTGGACTAAGTGGGGATCACACATAAAGTAAGCTTTGTTGTTGTCCAGTCTTGCTTACTAACTGTGCATGTATTCAAGATTGGGCATATTACCTGTGATAATGCTTCAAACAACGACACAATGCTCAATGAGCTTGCCTTGCGAGTGAAGCAGGGGACTGGTATCAAGTGGATCCCAAAAAAGCGCCGTATCAGGTAGGTATATTTTTGTGAGTCGAGCATGTACTAACAAGTATCTAGGTGTTTGGCTCATGTTATCCACCTCGCTACAAGGGCCCTCATCTCAACATATAGCAAAGCCCCTTATTACGACCCTGAGCATCCCACACTATCTATAGTCAAAGAGAATGGCCGACATGATGAAATTGGCCTTGTCCGAGCTATTGCAGTTAAAGTAAGTCATTCCTGTAATGATTTTATCTGCTGTTGCTGATGTCATCTGTCATCTGTCATATCCCATATATTCATGCTTCTCTTCTGGACTTCGGACTCTTAGATCCGGTCCGGTCCGATGCATAGATCCGCGTCCGATCCGATATCCGATAAGCTTCTTAATTCATTTCCTGTTCATATAATGTTAAACACAGCCTATTCGGTATTTCCTCTTCCCGGTGTCTCGGTTATACTTATTACCGGTATGATTACTGATCCGTTATCCTATGCTTCATTTCCGACTCGTGTTTGATAAGCTTTGCATATGCTTCATACATAGCCTCGGACCTTTGCTTATTGATCCTTCTGTTATCCTCTTAGTATATAAACCCATGTATATTTCCTGTAGTACCTCAGTTCGAATATCATCTTAGTTTGTCCTCTTTCTGTCCTCCGGACTTGAGTCTAAACAACTCTTGTCAATCTCTGAGACTTCGGATCGATTCTGATAGTCTACGTCTCCGCCTCTATCTTCAGATAGTCTATACTCTGTTTGTTTCTAGTCCGGATCCGTCCGGATTAGTCTTATACGCGTTTCCGATATCCGGAAGTCATCCGGATATAACTACGAGACTCGTCCGGACCTTCGGACGCGTTATCGTTAAGTCTTTGAAATAAGGGACAGTACTTGGGAAAGGGGCACAGCATACGAGCTGAGGCCGAAGTCCTTCAGATCCGATCCTACGAGAGTACGACCTTAACAGTATATTCGAACTCACACCTTTCCAAGTACACTTACTCATATCATGGCTCCTACTAAAGTAAACCAAGCCGCTCTGCACGCAGTTGGACTGTCATCCAGCTGACGCGATCCAACCTCCATAGTTAACGCCTTCACCAGTTTCTTGCAGCGCCATGTCTCAAGCGGTCCTGCTCAAAGTATTTCTCAACTCTTGAATCGTCCGCATCCAGTGACTCCTATGCCTACACGTACTGCTGCTGGAGGACCTCCGGATGATGAAGGACCCGACGATGAAGACCCTCTGGATGATTTTGGAGGTAATCCGGATGATGATCCGGATGATGACGACGAAAATGACGGACTAAACCCACAAGACCGCATCATGCTCCGGCTTTCCGAAGCCATTGACAACCTCACACGCAACAACTGTCGTACCGTCTCATCCGAAGACTCCAAAGTCAAGATCCGTGAACCTGATACTTTCGATGGCACAGAGCCTTGGAAGCTTCGTGCATTCTTCGTCCAATGCGAGCTCCACTTCCAAAGCAAACCTAAGTCTTTCCGTACCGGACGGGCAAAAGTCAATTTCGCCCAATCCTACCTTAAGGGTATGGCACTCGAGTGGTTCAAACCGGACCTCCTTTCCAATGATTCCGATGATCGTCCAGATTGGATGGATGATTATTCCGTGTTCATGCTAGAACTACAAACCAATTTCGGACCTCACGATCCGTCCGGTGACGCGGAACAACAACTCGAACAACTTCACATGCATGACGGACAACGCATTAATAAATATGTTGTTGAGTTTCAGCGTCTTGCTTCACAAGTCCGTGGCTGGGGTGACAGTGCCCTAAGACGCCAATGCTATAACGGACTTCTGGCTCGTATCAAAGATGAAATCAGTCGCATGGGTAAGCCTTCTACCCTTTCCGAATACAAGACCCTTGCCCAGACTATCGACGCACGATACTGGGAATGGAAGGGAGAAGTTACCCGCGAAACCAAACCCACCACCTCCAATCCACCTAAGCAACCCACTTCGGACTGGACGAGTTCCAACCCATCTGGATCTGCGAGATTCAAATCCGACAAACCCGCTACTTCCGCATCCTCCTCCGCCTCTAAAGCTCTGGACCTTACCTCCAAGCTAGGTAAAGACGGAAAGCTAACGTCCGAAGAACGTCAGAGACGGATGGATAATAAACTCTGTCTATTCTGCGGCGGACCCGGCCATAGTGCTCGGGAATGCACTAAGTCGACTTCGCGCGCTGCCAAAGGCTGTGCTGCAGTAGTCGCTCCAGAAACCAAACTGGAGGCCTCCGATGAGGCAAAAAAATAGTCCACAACCCTCCTGACTCCGCGCGGGCTGAGGGTTGCATTGACTCTACCCGCGCAATGGAGCTACGTCTCAACGCTGTTTCACTTTCCGATCCGAACTCTCTATGTCCATACATTTCTCTTCCTACTTTTCCTGATATTTCCTCGTTTCCTTCTCTAATAGATTGTGGTTCCTCACATTGTTTTATAGACTCTGATTTCGTCTGAAAAAATAAAATCCCTACATATCCGATAACTCCTCTTTCTCTCTGTTTGTTTGATGGTACTTGTAATAATATGATTTCCGAAGCTATAGATTTGCCTATTCATTTTCCGTCCGGTGTAGTCACCTCCGATACGTTTTACGTTACTCCGTTGGATTCTTCTTGTTTTATCATTCTAGGATATAGCTGGCTCACCCTACACAATCCGTTGATTGACTGGGTTTCGGGCAGCATCGATTTCCGAACGACTTCTCATGGAATGCCTTCGACACCTCCGACGTCGCTTCCATCTCCGGATACCCCTCCTCCGATGGAAGATTTACCTCCTCCGACTACATCCGGAACCTCCGCTGATAAAACCATCCCTAATATTTCCTTGATAAATGTAGTTGCCTTTTGCCTTGCCTGCAAATTGGAAGGATCGGAACAGTTCAGCATCTACCTTCGTCCGACCGGTGTAGACCTCCGGTCCACTACCCTTTCATCCAATCCTCCGGACCTATCCGGAATTCCTCCGGAATATCATGAATTTTCGGATGTGTTCAATAAAGGCAAAGCTAGCCAACTTCCTCCTCATCGTCCCTACGATCTCAAAATCGAGTTAGAAGAAGGAGCTAGTCCACCCCTCAGAACCATTTATTCTCTATCTGCAGTTGAGCTTGCAGCCCTCCGGAAGTTTCTTGATGAAAACATTTCCTCCGGACTCCTCTGTTCCTCATCCTCTCCTCACGGAGCTCCTGTCCTGTTCATCAAGAAAAAGGATGGCTCCCTTCGCCTCTGTGTAGATTTCCATGGACTTAACCAGATCACCAAGAAAGACCTGATATCCGTTACCCCTCATTACCGACCTTCTAGACTCTCCGAGCCGCGCTAAAGTATATACCAAAATCGACCTCCGATCCGCTTATCACCTTGTCCGGGTAGCGGAAGGAGACGAATGGAAGACTGCTTTCCGAACGTGCTATGGCTCTTATGAATGGTTGGTGATGCCGGAAGGTCTCACTAATGCTCCGGCCGCATTCCAATGCTTTGTCAATAGCGTGTTTGCTGATATGCTGGATGTATGCGTTATCGTATATCTGGACGACATCCTCATTCTATTCCCAAGACCTTGCATCCCATAAGGAACATGTCCGAGAAGTTCTCCTCCATCTCCGAAAACATCGACTCTATGCTAAACCCGAAAAATGCGCATTCCACACCACATCCGTTGAATACCTTGGTTACCTCCTATCTCCGGACGGCTTGACCATGTCGTCCGAGAAGGTCCAGGCCATTGTCGATTGGCCGGAACCTCGGAAAGTTAAGGATATTCAATCCTTCCTCGGATTCGTAAATTTCTATCAGTCGATTCATTTTCAATTACTCGGATATCGTAGTTCCGCTCACCCATCTTACCCGCAAGGGGGTTACTTGGGACTTTTCCGATGATTGTCGGAAGTCTTTTGAAACACTCAAGAAAGCTTTCACGTCCGCTCCGGTGCTTATGCACTGGATTCCGAATGTTCCGATAGTCGTAGAAACCGACGCCTCTGATTACGCTATAGCCGGTATACTTTCCATAGTATGTCCGGACTCAGAGCTTCGTCCGGTAGCCTTTTATTCTCGGACGCTTACCGCTCCGGAACTCAACTACGACACTCACAATAAGGAACTTCTAGCCATCCATGAAGCTTTTCGGACGTGGCGACATTACCTTGAAGGCTCTGCCGAGCCGATAGACGTTGTCACGGACCACAAGAACCTTGAGTACTTCTCTACCACAAAACTCCTCTCTCGCCGTCAGGCCCGCTGGTCGGAATTCCTCCATCAGTTCAATCTTGTCATCCGTTTCCGTCCCGGAAAACTCGGAGCTAAACCGGATTCCCTTACTAGACGCTGGGACGTCTACCCTAAAGAGGGGGATAAGGACTACGCTCGAGTTAACCCTCATAATTTCCGTCCGGTATTCACTTCGGAACAGTTAGCTTCGTCCCTACAAGCCTCAACCTTAGCAACTCCGGTTCTTAGGGCAGCCGTTCTGATAGATATCGACCAGCTCCGGAAAGACATCCTGACCGCACTTCCCAATGACCCTATCGCGTCCAATCATCTTCCGGAACCTTCGGATCCGAGATGGACGGTAGACAATAGTGGTTTCCTCCGCTGCGACAACCGTATATATGTTCCGGAATCCAATAACCTCCGACTTCGCGTCCTCCGAAATACTCATGATCACCCCTTGTCCGGACATTTCAGTCAAAATTGAACACTAGACCTCATCCGACACGAGTATACTTGGCCAGGAATACGTACTTATGTCAAGGACTATGTCAAGTCCTGTACTACCTGTGGCCGAGCTAAGGTTCCGAGACATAAACCATACGGATTGCTAAAGCAGTTACCCATACCGGAAAAACCTTGGAATTCCATCTCCATGGATTTCATAGAGCATCTTCCGGATTCATCTGGCTTTACAGCCATCCTCGTCGTAATAGACCGTCTATCGAAACAAGCCATATTCATCCCCACCCACGACACCATTACCTCTCCGGACCTCGCTCACCTGTTCGTCCTCCACGTGTTTTCCAAGCACGGAGTTCCATCCCATGTCACTTCGGACTGAGGGACAGCATTCGTATCGCATTTCTTCCGGTCCTTAGGAAAAGTGTTAGATATGGTCCTCCACTTCACGTCCGGATATCATCCGGAAGGAGATGGACAAACCGAACGAGCCAACCAAACCCTAGAACAATATCTCCGGATATACTGCAACTATCAGCAGGATAACTGGTCGGAACTACTTCCTTTGGCAGAATTCGCTTATAACAACGCTCCGAGTGCCACTACCGGAGTATCACCCTTCTTTGCCAATAAGGGATATCATCCGAACCTGTCCGTTCATCTGGAACGTGATCTCTCCTCCGCCCGCGCACGAGACTATGCAGTAGACCTTGACGAACTACATCAGTTCCTCCGAGAAGAAATGGCCCACGCACAAGAAAGATATCAAGGTCCTGCGGACGCCAAACAGAAACCCGCTCTGGATCTGAAAATCGGAGATCCGGTCTTCGTCAAAGCAAAATACTTCTGTTCCACCCGTCCGTCCAAGAAACTCTCGGAAAAGAACTTAGGTCCGTTCGAAATCATAGCTCGTCCGGGTACACACTCCTTCACCATCTGACTTCCGATTCCATGCGCTCCGTACATCCAGTTTTCCATGTCTCGCAATTAGAACCAGCATCCTTGAACACTATTCCTAATCGTATCCAACCACCCCCGCCTCCGATCAAAGTCGACGGAGAACCCGAATATGAGATATCCGAAATCCTAGACTCCAAGTTAGACCGTCGGAGAAGACAATGTCAACTCCTATACCTCGTCCGATGGTCCGGATATGAAGGAACGGACGAGGAAACTTCATGGTTGCTTGCAACGGAGCTCGGAAACACATCCGAACTAGTATCAGACTTCCACTCAGCATATCCGAACAAACCCGGTCCTATTCAACTTTGAAGTACATGATGTGTATACAGATATAAGTACATTTAAGGAAGAAACAGAAACGGACCAGAAAATCCTACATTTCCATAGACCCATCCGCCTCTCCGGATCCGCCATCTTCACTTCCGGACGCCTTATCCATCACTTCATCCTCCGGATCCGGATCCGAAGTCGTCCGAAACCCCTTCCGGATGTGTCCGAATAGCATGGCTTGAAATTCCCTCTGCTGCTGAAGGAACAACTCAATTCCAGAACTCATCCGGTCCGCTGCAGCCCTACTGCCTTCCGCTGCCTGAATGCTCCTCTCCAAAAGTGCGTTCGTCCCAGCCAGTTCCGACACTATATTGTTGGCCGCGGCCACCCAAGCCTGGTCATCATATTCTTCCTCCATCTCTTCCGGATCTTCCGGAGTCGGACTCTTCTGGCGTTTCTTACCTTTGCCCTTCGGAGATGGAGATCCGGCAGCATGTTTTCTCTTCTTGCCCTTGGACACCTTGACAGTTCCGGGTCGTCCGGGACATGTAGCCTTGTCCTTCCGGCAGATATCGCAAGACTTGATCTATCTGGACGTCAAAAACCCGGATCCGAAGTATCCGGACGACTCACCTGAGCGTTGCCCTCTGCATCCGTCCAAAGACAAGTCCGTCCCCTGTTAGCACAACGCACGCAGGATCCGTCCCTTTCCGCAGACATAGCACGAGTCTTTCCATCCATTAGAGAAATCCACCATATCCATCCGAAACTCACCATTTCCGCTACTATTTCCTTGCGTCTTTTCTCCTCCGCTGCTACAAGACTCTCAGCCTCCTTAATCTTCCGCAATTCCTCCTGGCGTTTCCGTTCCGCCTCCTGACGTTTCCGATTCTCTTCTTCTTCCATCCGAGCCGCAATTTCCGTGTCCGCTATTTGCTGTTGAAGCTCCAGAAGTTTCTGCTTAGCAGTTTTCTGAGATCTGGAGGTGTTGCCACTGTAAACACAGCCTATTCGGTATTTCCTCTTCCCGGTGTCTCGGTTATACTTATTACCGGTATGATTACTGATCCGTTATCCTATGCTTCATTTCCGACTCGCGTTTGATAAGCTTTGCATATGCTTCGTACATAGCCTCGGACCTTTGCTTATTGATCCTTCCGTTATCCTCTTAGTATATAAACCCGTGTATATTTCCTGTAGTACCTCAGTTCGAATATCATCTTAGTTTGTCCTCTTTCTGTCCTCCGGACTTGAGTCTAATCAACTCTTGTCGATCTCTGAGACTTCGGATCGATTCCGATAGTCTACGTCTCCGCCTCTATCTTCGGATAGTCTATACTCTGTTTGTTTCTAGTCCGGATCCGTCCGGATTAGTCTTATACGTGTTTCCGATATCCGGAAGTCATCCGGATATAACTACGAGACCCGTCCGGACCTTCAGACGCGTTATCGTTAGTCTCTGAAATAAGGGACAGTACTTGGGAAAGGGGCACAGTGTACGAGCTGAGGCCGAAGTCCTTCGGATCCAATCCTACGAGAGTACGACCTTAACATAGGGCAGGTCCCATCAATGATGCAATTTTTGAGCTGTGAATTCCCTAAGTCCCCAACTCCATCATTCCACCAAGGTTTTCCGTTTGAATTCACTAAGTCCTCAACTCTGCCATTCTGCCAAGGTTTTTTGTCTCATACATTACACAGTACATCACAATTAAGTTGCTGTACCATACATATTTTTAAAAATGAAGTTATATTGCAGAGCGCAGCACAATATTTAGTACAGTGTGCAATGAATGGAACATTGTTACAGAAGCAGAGACGAGGCACATGCACCGCTGGAGGGTCTAGGACCCAGGACGAGACGGCAGGAAGAAGAATCAAACAGTCTATGTTACTCAATGTTTGATGTTCGAGTTATGGTCCTACCATGGTAGGACCATAACTTGAACATCAAACAACTACTAGTAATAGACTATGTACTGGTAATTCTTGTGGCCTTGTGCTTATGTATAGGCGAAATGGGATTATTATCAATGACTTTTGGTCTGAGTTAGATTTTAGAGTAATGCTAACAAGCTGGTACATATTTTCAGTCCTATCAACTGATAGAGTCCAATTTAGATAAACTGGTCTCTTGAGTCTCAACTTGAACCATCCCGATGGTCAGTTATGGTCACTCGAAATTCTAATACACGTATGTGAATTTCATCTACTACACAATCATTAACATATACTAATTCTGTTACAGTGAACTCTGAATAGCTCTGAATCATATTTATGAGCCTTTCACACATAATTCAACGATGTACAACTGTTATGGTCCGACTAAGGTCAACTAGGTGTGTTTTTCATTCTGATATATTTTATCTGTCATTTGCTTACACTTCTTTTTACCCAGCTACTTCGAACACTACATCAATCATCGCTCAACAGTGGGACTTTTAGCAGTTGAGGTGTCTATTAATGAGTTGTCCATTAAGGTGCATCATCAATCCACTATTATCTGTTAACTACTAATACTACACAATCCTATCCTGATACTCCCTCCTCCACCTCAGCGCATCCCCTCTCACTTGCTTGCTGTTCTTGCTGGCTGGTTCTTGCTCACTCACTGTGTCTCACTCGCCCACTGTCTCTCGCTCGCTGTCTCTCACTTGCCCACTGTCTCTCGCTCGCTGTCTCTCACTTGCCCACTGTCTCTCACCCGCCTGCTATCTCTCACTCACCCGCTGTCTGCTCTTGGCCACTGTCTCTCACCCGCTGTCTCTCACTCGCTCACCTCTCATAGATATATCTTTCCCATCTGGCATCCAACGTGCAGCTTTACTTGTGCCAATGCATATCCACCTGTATGGCTGCACGCTGTAGCTACAACCCAGAATCCAGATGGGCCTGTTATAGGTAATTTTTCGCATTTTTATGTATGTTATCTACATTTGTTACTTTATCAATACCTGGAATATATTACATCTAATTTTGACTAGAAATGTGCAAGTGAGTGCCCTAGATGTAAATATGCCTGCTCCAAACCTACTTCCGTGTCTGACTTATTTGGGATATGTCATCGGTCAAGCAGCTTCAAATGAGATCCGTTTTGAACAAGGTACCAAATAGAAGCTTGGCAAAGTAGAAGGCACAATGCGAACTGAGATTCGATGAACTGAATATTAGATCTTCATAGGTGTCTTGGTTGCCGAGGACCAAAAAAGAAATATCATTGACTGAAAGTGCTACAATCTACAGTATTAAAGGTCTGCTAGTTAGCATGTTCTGATGCATTAATGATGCATCAGAAAGCTTGGTAATGTACATGGTTGATGCATCAGCCTTACAGGGACTTTTGCCAGCCTCAAGGACAATATCATTCTCATGCAGCCGGCTACACACAACATATGCAAGCCACCCTTATTTCTTCCTCCCAGCATTGTTTCTTTCCTCAGTGCTGCTTGCAAATTGCAAATTGCATCCATGAAGACATGTTGGAGTGTCCTGAAGAGTAGTATTTGGGCTGGAAATTTTGCTGTTCATGAGAAGATGAAAGACTTATTTGAGATACATGGACACCCTCATGGCCTTAGTGAGTGTTTTTTTATCGTGTATCCATGAAGCTGAATGAATCAATTCAATAGCACGACACACGTTCTATCCACCATTCAAGATGTGTTCCAATTCCACCTGTGATCACACACAAAAAGACTTGTTGCTCGGCATGGCTGAACAGCACAAGGTGGTCTATTTTGGCCACTCTGGTATGGTCCCTGCCTACAGTGTTCAACTGTATTGTGAATATGAGTGCTACGTCTATTTGACAACCTGACTTAATGCAGCTGCTAAATCCCCCTCAGCCTGCAAGACAACTTATCACGCAAACTACAAGGTCACCAGTGACTGACACATTTACTATGATTACACCACCACACTGCCAGACATTGTGCAGATTGCAGATCACTACTTTGTTGACTATGGAGTAGTGAGGTTATGGAAGGCCATGATGCACGCTTCCTGGTATGTATGTGCATGTTCTGAATCTGCCCTCACTGACCATACACTTAGTACATCAGCAACTAACTACACACACATCTATAACATCGCACTTGCAAATGCGGAGTCCATGCAGTTCCCAGGCACAAAATGGTTCAGCAAGGATGTAACTATGGACCATGTCTGGAACACCTTTATCATTTGCACACTGCTTGAAGATTGCCGCGAACACCATTGTCTCCTCAATGTTGGTCAGACCATTAACCAGAACGAGTGCTTCATCGAGGCGATATCAGACAGGAACTGACACATGCGGACCTATAACCAACCACTTGCTCATTGGCACTTTTGTGCTAAGTGTACCCATATTTACTACAATCATGGTGATATTAGTATGTATGCTTCTTGCAGTGCTGCTCTGCACTCACATTTTTACAGCCAACAAACTAGTCTCTGTCGTTGTGGTGGATGGCGTCATTGTGAGCTGTCTGTGCTGCTCTGTCCCCAACTGCTGGATCCATCTTCATACTCCTCAAGACCGCTTTTGTTACATCCACTCTGCATGCCTTGAGCAATGTGCAATCAAAGGCTGTGCATGATCTGTGATATCAGGTAGCCTCACTTGCGACATCCCCACACACCAGGAGTCTGAAGCACTGCACACTCTGCGGGGCAAGTCTCACTTCCATCTGCATGAATGCCTCAAGCATTCAAGGGCTATCTATGGGCATCTTACAAATGTCCAAGTCAGAGATGATGATGATGGAGATGATGATGATGATGGAACACAAGCGATTGGAGAGGAGGAGTATAACATAAAATTGGGAAAGAAGAAGAGACTTTGTGCGCAGTTCACCTGCAACTATACTCATTGTGAGGAGCTGATTGTTGCGCCTTGCGGAATGATTCATGCTCGTGAGACTATGCACAATGCCGAGGGAGTGGGGAGTGTTGCTGAATTTATTTGCCATGTCTTCTGGGACCCAGAGACATGCCCAATACATGTGTTCTTTGATAATAACTGCCAACTTGCGCTGCATGTCCAGAATGACCCATTCTTTCAAGACATCAGCCTTTCCGTTGATGTCTTCCACTTTAAGTGCAAACATTCAAAGCAAGACATGTTCTGCCAAGAGAACTGCAACCCTGCTGTACTATGTCCAAAGCCTGTTAGACACCAGATGAACTCATCCTCACCCAAACTAAGGGTTTCTTGCTAGGCCGTCCGACTGATTTTCACTGGGCCACTGCTAGCGGTGGTCGCTCTCAAATGAACTAAAAGATGGGGGAGACACATGATTCAATTGACATGGGATGAGCTAAAACAAAGAGGTGTGAGACAGCCTAAGAGATAGACATGAGATAGACAGCGACATGAGACTAAGACAAAGAGACATGAGATGAACTAAGACAAATGCTGCTAATACCAGACAATGAGATGAATGAAAATACCTTTGAGGAACTCAGGACCGGGTCTCTGTCATGAACTTTGACCATAAACCATCTTTTGTTCGCCCAGCCTTGACGAACCTATCTGTAATGTTGGCGGGCGCATCTGCCCAACGCCTCTTGTGAACATGAAATGTTGTGCTAGTGTAAGGGACCCCAAACATCTTCTGGAACACCTTGGCAACACCTTGGCAACACTTACTGATCATCTTGCAAAGTCTGAAGCCCTTGGCAATATCACAGGCATAGAAATCTCCTGGCCAGACCTTGACATTGTTGTCCACATCAATCAGATCGGAGAGTGTGCCTCAAGATATGGCTGCATGAGCCCTTGAAGAACCTACTGAAGGGTGTGCAGTGGCCTGTTTGAGTGGTTTACAATGAGTATGAGGTGGGCTGGAGTCCACACTTGTTGTGGGACTATGTGGACTGTGATGGTGAATGTTTCATTTGGAAGGTTTGGCAGGTGGAGATGGCGTCCAAAAAGATGGAACAGAATATGCTGAATATGATAAGGAGGGTTGTCTGGAATGAGGCAAAGCTTCCAACAGAGGTTTGGCTTTACCCTTGCCCTTTGACAGCAACAAGGCCTTGACCTCCAACTCAGATGGCGAGGCACTCATCTTGGCATCATCCTGAGTGTGACGTGGCTGAGAACAAGAATGAGCATGGAAGACAACTTCTTTAGGTGCAGGTAAGATATTATGGTGCTGACGCAGCTCCTCACAGACTGCAGCACAATTGGCAGCCAAGTGAGAGTGGAGGTTATGTGGAGAGTCATTGATACTTCAGATACAGCTATCGAGATCCACACATTGAGTTACATTTGGGTTCTTCAGGAGGACCAGTTGGCCTTCGATGACAGTAATAAGGTAGTCTGGCTATACACCTCACCATTCTCATTGTTGATGATTCCATACATGAATGATGGAGGCAGCACCCACCCCTTCATTGACCCTCGCAGCAGCCAGTCCCATCAGGGATATAACTTGATGGTTTAGTGATAAGTGAGGCCAAGTAAATGATGGTGTGCCCGACTGGAACTCAAACACGTTGGGCTGACCACTGTCCTGTGAGCGTGATGATCAGTGTCTACTGCATAGCAGAGAAGGAGCAATTAACCTTTACCCAGGAATACACAACTGTATGGTACCATGCATGATTCTGCGCCTTGATCTCATCAGCATGACACTGACACTGTTCTTTCTCACATTTGGATGTTTCTGCTAGCTGTGCTGTGAAGACTTCAGGTATTTGCATATGATAGCGAGGGCCATTCTCTGGGGAGGTGTGATTGCGTGCAGGTACAGTTTGAGCCCTTGTCGGCTTCATTGCTTGCAGGTCATCAGGTGGATGCTCAATGTGAGCCTCGACAACGGGCACAACACTTGATACATCATGCAGCTGAGGAGATGGTGAATGCGACAGACACTCGATGGATGCGGGAATATGGGACTCATCGGCACCAAGGTCGTGTAATGGCTGCCCAGGATCATCTTCGAGCTCCAACCCTTCAGCGCCATTTGGATTGCCAATGTGGTCAAAAAGGTGGCAGCCACCTAGGCGCCTGCAGTGTTTGTGGCAAGTTGACCAAGCACAGTTCTTATTGACATGGGTGTTGGTACAGCCCACAACCATGCACACATGCTTTGGCACTGGCAGGTGGGCGCTTCTGGTTCGCTGATAAGTATTAGCATGGGCGACAAGTGCCGGAGTTTGTGGTGATCCAAAGTGCACAAAGTTGCACTTCATACCATCCTGACCACCATCAAAACACTATGTATCCCATCAACACATATTTCAGTCAAAGAAGATGGAGGAAAGAATTTACAATCGCTTGCCAACGGCCACGGTTTCCATGTTCATTGGATTCACACACCATCCATGGACATGGTTTATTGCATGTTGTGCATGACACTTCATACATGGGACGTGGGCCTGTGGGGGGCTGAGCTGTAGGGTGTGGTATCACAAGTGTCTGGACAGAGTAACAGTGTGACAAGATAGAGAGAAAGATGCAGAACGACAAGAGAGAAATGAAATGCGGCAGGTTGATATCGATAAACAGGGCCCTTTTATATTCCTGAGGGCGGGGGAATACTGTGGGTGGGGGCATACTGCCAGAATGCCTGAGGACAGCATGAAAGATGGCTCCAGGCTGCCTGTAAGTTGAGTGGCACCCAAAGGAATTCATAGACTAGCAATGAGCAAGGGAGTGCCGGCCTGGAGAAGGCAAAGATTGAACTAACCTTGCCTCAGGGCCTGTTTCCAGCATAGAGTGGAGCAGAAAGTCCATTAGCATAAACAATGCCAAGTGACGACGAGCAATGAGCAGGGCGTGATATGCAACTGGCATCTGACACTCAAATTTCAAGAGCCCCTTCAGTGACAAATTCCGTATTATATGGGCCACCTGACCTACATGATATTCTGTATCAGATGGGCCAGCAGACCATGGGCCCATGTTGTGTATATTCTCGATGATGACGGATGGGCCAGGTAACATATTATTTCTGATGGAGACGGGTGGGCCCATGTATGCCAATGATATATATATCCTTGATGTTGACGGATGGGCCAGGGGAATATGATCATTCATGGAGATGGGTGGGCCCATCTGGGTAATATATAGAGTAGGATATTATAGACAGCTGGGCGGAAGAGAGAGGTAAGGCAAATATTGTTATAGATACAGGTGGGCCGACAGGGGTGTATTACATATATGGGTGGGCTGGGGTAGGGGAATATTACATAGACGGGTGGGCTGACATGGGGCATATTACATATACGGGTGGGCCGACATAAGGGATATCAAATAGACAGGTAGGCTGAGGGTGTGATAAAATATTTATTACATAGACAGGTGGGCCGAGGTGGTGGAATATCACATATACAGGTGGGCCAACATAAGGGATATTAATTAGATGGGTGGGCCGAGGGTGTGATAAAATATTTATTACATAGACAGGTGGGCTGAGGTGGGGTATAATTATATAGACGGGTGGGCCAACATAGGATGTATTATATAGATGGGTGGGCCAACATAGGATGTATTACATATAGTGCTGCCATGGTTCGGTCCAGAACCACGGTCCGAACCTGACCAACGGTCAGGTTCTTCCTTGGTTCGGTCCATGGTCCATGAATTGGGGCGGACCAGACCTGAGTGAGGTTCATGGTCCACCATTTGCCTGAACAGTTCTATGTTGGTTCGAACCTTCCCTGAACCGCGAGAAGTTCTGTCACATTGTCAAAGCATGTTTTGACACTGCCTTTGATGATTCGCCTTGGCCTCAAGGATTCTCAAGCTTCGATACTTACTTGTTTCTGTCAAATGCAGAGGCTCATTGACAAGGTAAGTCATGATATGCACTGTTCAAACTGAACAGTGTGAGTGTTGTGCTTGTAATGACCATGTCCTCGCCCAGATCCTTATCATACCAACACCCTACGATGCTATTACGATTCTCCACCGGCTGTTTGTCCGCCGGCTGTCTGATTTGCTTGCACATAAAATGTGCAAGCCTCAGCAGGTAAGCACTATATTCAACATGGCTCATTCAGACTCATGCGCTGTCAATGCTGATGGTTCTCTCAAGGATGCCAAGGACATCGTCTTCTACCACAATTCCGATGATTCTGTCCCCCTTGACACCACATCCTCTGCCCCCCAGCCATCATCATCTACTAATCCTCCTCAGGATGCCTTCTCTATGATACTGAATACTGGGCACAAACCAACACCAGTTACAGCTGGTGCTCGACGATCCATTCGGACCTCTAAGCCATCTGCTCGCCTCCAGGATGCTGAGAACATTTATTCAACCTCGACCTCCACCAGCTCAACAAACTGCAAACGTACATTGTCTAGCGCTACTGAACTTCAACTTCAACTGGCTCACAAAAAGGTTTTATCATGTCTATTATCAGACGAGGATAGCCTTGATGACGACGATGCTGGTCATGACACTGATCCTTTGGAGGACCAGCCCGAAGCCGAACCTGAAGCCGAACCTGAACCTGAGGATGCCATCCAAGCCACTTTGCCGAAGACTGAACGTACCGCTGACATTCGCACTGTCTTCACTCACCATGAAACACACTGGGTATGCAACCCTTGCAAGTATGTAATTAGAACTGCGTGTCTTGTGTTCTGCTAATGTTTGGTAGGGATGCTGGTGAACCTGAGAGTAAGCATGTCTTTCGAGGAGGTATCTCTACACTCCGCACACACATCAGTTGGTATGCTCTTTCAATGTCATCTCTTACTTTTGCTGATATCTATTAGTAAAAAAAATCACTTTCAATTCTACAAGGCTTGCTGCCAAGCGGCAGGGATTACTATGCACCCTCGTGCCATTCCGACTAGCGAGGATCAGGCTCTGTAAGTTTCAACTAACATTTTGCATCAAGTGTTGCTGAATCATTGACAGTTCCAGACAATCCACCCTTGATATGATCCTTGTCACCAAGGTGCCTATATTTACCAAGGAAGGACTCCTGGAGTACATAATGGAACTTATTGTGACCGAAGACGAAGCACTGCAGCTGGTCGACAAACCAGCCTTCCGAAACTTACTTCGCTATGTTTGGCCTGGCCTTACTGAGAGAGACATACCTCACCGCACCAAGCTTACTGAGACCATCAAGGCACACGCATTAGCTATAGTCGATGTCATACGCGAACATCTTGCAAAGGTCAATAGCAAAGTTTCCATGATGTTCGACTCTTGGACTTTGATTATTGGCGACCCATTTTTCTCCGTCACTGGCCATTACATTTGGAACCCAGATGATAAACCCCTGCAATGGGAGTTACGTCGTGAGCAGCTCAGTTTCGAACACATTGAGGGCGATCACAGCGGACAAAATATAGCTCATATGCTTATTAACTCAATTGACACATATGATGTCCGAGCTAAGGTAAGGTCTGGCCTCTTCTATCTAATGGTAAAGCTAATGGTTTGCTTCGTGCAGGTTGGATGGATGACTTCTGACAATGCCAGCAACAACGATATGGCAATAAAGGAAGTTGCTCGTGAAATTGATCCAGAAGGTGTCTGATGGATACCTGCCACACACTGCATTAGATGCCAGGAACACATCCTGAACCTTGCTGCACGACACTTTGTAGATGCAGTTACGAAGAAGACCCATCAGGCACTTGATAAGGGAGATGATGCTGAACTCGACATCTTAAACAAGGAGCTTGCAACCTTGGAAGTTAATGGTGACCGTGACCGCGAAGATGAGTTCAACACTGGTGATTCGCTTGGCAAAGCGCTTGCACTTATAGAGCAGGTACGTTATTATCCTTATCCTTATCCTTATCCTATGCTCTTACTGATTGAGATTGTTAGATACGAAAATCGCCTCAAGCTTGTGCCTTCTTCAAGAAGGCCTGCAAAGAGGAGAACGTACCCAAGCTTGAGTTATTGCAGTGGATCAGAACTTGTTGGGCTTCCTTATACAAATGTCTTGACCACATGCTACTCTTATGTCAGGTATGTTTTTTTTCTATTCAGTGTTTGTGAATCTGATATTTATATTTTAAACAGGCCGTCAACCGTTTCACCAATCTCACTGACGAAAGCAAAGAAGTGCCAAATCTTCATAACAAGTCTTACGATGATTTTCAGCTCGGCCGGAGTGACTGGAGACACCTCAGACTCATTCATCAAGTCCTGAAGGAGCCGGCTACCGCCCAGCAAACTTTCTCCTCCACGAAACATCCTACTGCATGGCAAATGATACCTACATTGGAGTGCCTGGCTGACCGGTGGCAAGAGATGGCCAATGATATACAGTATGTGCCAATCACTGATGCAATCAAGCAAGGACTCAAGAACATCAACAAATACTACAAGAAAACAAGTGACTCAGATGTATATTTTATTTGTCTCGGTGAGCATTCATAAAAACTTCACTTTCCTCCCATCTTTCCCTCCCCACCATACCTACTTCACCACCTTGTATGAAAAACTTCACTTCCCTCCCATCTTTCCCTCCTCACCATACCTACTTTGCTGCCTCATATGAAAAACTTCACTTTCCTCCCATCTTTCCCTCCCCACCATACCTACTTCGCCACCTCGTATGAAAAACTTCACTTCCCTCCCATTCTCCCTCCTATTGTACCTACTACCTCCCTCTCTCTTCACCACCTCGTATGAAAAACTTCACTTCCCTCCCATTCTCCCTCCTATTATATAACATGTGCCCGCCTCTCATATAACTATTAACTACAGTCCTTGACCCCAACTATAAGCTTACTTATGTTGAAGAACGGTGGGACAGTCAAGACGTTGCGGATGGGAGGGCTCACCTCGAGACTGTTGTAAGTATTTGTTCAGACTCATCATTGTCCTTCAGCTTACATTCTTCTACAGTTTGATGAGTACTATAAACCACCAACTTGGACACCTGTCGATGAACCTGCTCCGCCAACAAGACCCTCGCTGGAAAACCGGTATGGTGATGCATGGATGTGTGAGGCCATTAAGGCGCATCAAGCTGCAGACCAACTTGCTCACAATCCTCATCAAGAACTCACAGCATATCTGTCTTCACCACTAGAGGAGGCCAATGATGTTGTTGCCTGGTGGGGGCTTCATTCTTTACAATTCCCTACATCAGCAAACTATTGATTTTGTGACAATTCCCACACTTTCGACAACTTCACACAAGGTATCACATGTCCTCACAAGTCTCACAGACAACACAAACAAATGACTACAAGTCTGCCACAAGCGCACAGTAGCACAAGCGGACAAATAGCACACAAGTGTACAAATGACACAAACTGTTACACACTGTAACATGCAAAAAGGATATAGTACCAGTATATACTACTAGCAGTGATTTTATATACATATATGCGCAGTGAGAGAACCGACTATTTACTAGTATACTGCACGGTCTAATAGATTATTAATTGAGAACAGTAGTAGTAACTATGAAAGAAAAACGCACTCACTGCTCATGTCATGCTTGAAGAGTAGCATACATTGTGATGCCGTTTTTCCTCCGGCGCTCTGAGTGCATGTGTCCGACATTGAGGTCGGCCAATAATAGATGTGTGTTCACAGCTTCTGCCTGGCAGCGGCAGATATGGGTGAGTACTTGGTGTTGTTCCAAAAGGCAGTCAGCCAGGTGCTTTTGAGCTTGACACACTTTGCATTTGACCTGGGCTGCCTCGAGTGCGAGGTCAGAGTTATCTTCTTCCAGTTGATCGAACAAGTAGTAAGGCTCGGCTGAGTCTTGTTCCTGCAGATAGCAGATATGAGTAACAAAGCAACACATTAGTATTGCGACTCACAAAATGTATTGCTAGTACAGGTAAGTTCTCTTCTTCTTCTGCCTCCTCCTTAACAGGGTATGATCACGACAGAGAATGTGAAAGGCGTGGATACCTGGAATCACCCCAGGGTGACATGCCTCAAGTTGAAGAGGCATCAGAATCGCGGGAGTCAGAAGAAGAATAGCAGGAATGGTGAGAGGAAGGAGAATAGGTGTTTTGGGGAGAGGTGCGAGAAACATTTTTAGTATCAGGAAACATATGGATGCACAGGTAGTAGTGATATATAATATTATGATCGTACGGCTAGACTTAGAAGATTTTGCAAAAGCAGCATGGGAACTTGCGCATATCAATCAATATGTCAATACCTACATGTCTGAAGTGCGGAAAAGTATTCACCAGGGACTCCAGCGTCACTCGCCATCTAAGCCAGCCTTGGACATCTTGTCACAGTTCTGTTCGTGACATTGTTGACATCTTGGAGTTTGCGGACGTAGCTCCACCGCAATGATCCCTCGATCCACCTCAAACTAGTATGGGTCAGAGTCTTAATGTCAGTGATGACTCGCAATTCAATACTCTGGACACCATGGATACCAACTTAGACGGAGAATTTCTCGATACAGCAGGAGACCTACCTCCGAGTAACGAGGAATGGTATGAGGGTGCAGCTAAGTGCTATTCTCAGGATGGTCTCACATTTCTGGATCTTTTCGACGCCGATGAGCATGCAGAATACAGGAAGGAGAACCTATTTTACCCATTCACATCGAGGGAAGAGTGGGAGGTCGCTGACTTCCTCCTGCGTTCTGCCCTTAGCATGGCAGCAATCGACAAATTGTTGCAGCTCTCCATGGTACGTATCCTTTTTTTTTCCTTTCACATTTTGATTGTGACATTACCTCGCAGATAAAACGATTGAAGCTGTCCTTTAACAACGCTAAAGATTTGCGAGGTCAGGCTGAAATGCTGCCGAAGGGACCAAGCTGGAAATGCCAAGTCATTCCCTCACTTCATGGCATGAAAAGTCCAATTCGACTATTCTGGAGGGATCCAGTTGAGTGTTTGGAGAGTCTCTTCAGTAACCCCCTCTTTCACGACCAACTTGACTTCGTCCCTCATTGTGTTTACAAGACTGCAGCACAGCTCCTACGTGTATATTCAGAATGGTTGACAGGTGACGCTGTTTGGAGCATCCAGGTACGTGTTACGATGAACTCGCAATGTGCCTTATCTCACAAAACTGTAGGATCAACTGCCCCAAGGTGCAACAGTCCTTGGCACTGTGCTTTCATCCGACAAAACCAATATCACAACGATGACAGGTGCTAGGGTCGCACACCCACTTTTGCTAGGCCTTGCTAATATTCATATGCACACTCGCACGAAGCTCTCGTCCAAGGTGTTTATGCTCACGGCTCTCCTTCCCATCCCACAATACTTACACCCCAATCAACGAATGCGGGGTATGCTCGAAGATTGCCTCATCCACGAATGTCTTTCGATTGTTCTACAACCCCTGATGAAAGCCGCTGAACTTGGAATCATGATGTCTGACCCAGTAGGAAACATCTGCCATTGTTTTACCCCCCTTGCAGCATACATTGTCGATACCCCTGAGGCATGTGTGCGCAGTAAAACTTCTCCATTTACACTGGCATCGTATCTGCAGTTCAGGGACAACTTTCGTCACCCCGCACGTACACGTGAAATTACTCTTGAGCAACTCACCAGCATTGATGTTGATCCCAATGACCTGGAAGGCTTTTTTGCTGCATGTGCAGAATTCTGGCTAAATGGTGTCTTTGTGCCTTTCTGGAAGGGCTGGCCATTGAGTGATCCTGCAATATTTCTTACGCCAGAAGCTTTGCATCACTGGCATAAACAGTTTTACGACTATGACATGCAATGGTGTCTTGCAGTTCTCGGAGCGCCAGAATTTGATTTCCAATTCTCAATATTGCAACCTATCACAGGTTATCGCCACTTCCCCAACAGAATATCCAAACTGAAGCAGGTCATGGGCAGAGTCCATCGTGATATACAGTGCTACATTGTTGGACTGATCGCTGGTGCAGCCCCCCATCGATTCGTGATTGCAATTCATGCTTTAATGGACATCCGATATTTGGCGCAGTCTCCCGAACCTGACAACAACTTACTCGCATCTATTGACAGATCACTTGCACTATTTCATGATAATAAAGATGTTATCATGACACTAGGCGCTCGGATGGGTGCGAAGAGAGTGATTGACAATTGGCACATACCCAAGCTAGAGCTCATGCAGAGCATTACCACTAGCACATGCCAAGTTGGTGCCCTCATCCAGTGGTCTGCAGATGCAACTGAACATGCACACGTCTCTGAAATCAAGGACCCAGCGCGACGTACTAACAACAACGATTATGATCCCCAGATCTGTCATCACTTAGATCAAGAAGAGAAACTGCGTCGTTTTGCAGTTGCTACATCTCTCAAGAGCTCTCCCACAGATCCCAATCTCGAAGAACTCTGTGAGGATGAAGGAGATGAGGACAAGGACAAGGACAAGGAAGAAAATGGGGAGAATGATGAACCAATGGATCCACGAACCGCACTCTTAGAGGAACTGAATCACACACATACCACTTCCAACTACTTCAGCAAAATAAGAATGTCGGCTGCTACAAGGCATGGAATTCCTCAGGCTCACCCTCCTCGTACGTTCCTTGCTGGCAGCACTGCCGTTCATCTTAATTGTAACCCCACCTACACTGGCTTGAAAATTGACAAGGTTGCTGATCAATTTAACATCCCAGATCTGTGGCACGCTCTCTCAGACTTCTTTCAATGTAATGTGAGGAATGGAGATGGAGTTTTTGGAGTGGGGGTTCCAAGAAGATTGCTGATCGACCGCCCTCTGAATATTCCTTTCGAACACGTTCAAGTATGGCATACTGTTCGCTTGCAGCAAGCTTGTCTTCACGATCCAAGTATTGTTTTACCTGCACAAACCATGCATGCATCTCCCGCATGCCCTGGGTGGCCAAAAGGTCGACAAGATGTTGCCATTTTTAACATCAATAGCGCACATGATTGGCCTGAGTCAGGGTTAATGGGTGAGCTCTTTAGTAATTGTATATGTTTTGATTACCACTGACACCTTTCCCCTCTTTTGAAGGTCATGCTGTCTGTGAACTGCAACTTATCATGCGCCCAATACCTCGACGAGGCTCACGTATTACATGGCATGATCGATATCTTTGTTATGTGCGCAGCTTCAAGATTGGTGTGGTTGATCCTGTCACCAAAATGCACACATTGACACACACAAAACATGTCAATGGTACTCTGGTGGGAGATATTGTTCCTCTAACACAAATTCGAGCATTCATCAGCATCATCCCGAAACTGGGTGCTGCAGCGGATCCTAGGTTGACTAAGTCTACTTCTGCACATTATCATTCCTCATTCTATTTGAATAAGTACTTTGATAAGCAAATTTATGATAGCCTGTACTATGCATTGCAAGGATAGTTACTGTTTGCTCATTTTCTTTCTTAGTGATATCATAGTTGACATGTACCAGTGCTGAGAAACCCCGAAGTGTGATTGGTGAGGAACCAATGCCCACACATTGCCAGCATTGCTTGCACCCTGTCCACTAGTAGAGGGAGCGCTTGCTTAATAACTATTCAGACAGACAGGTGAGTTGTTGTTGTAGAATGCACTGGTCTGCAGTATTCATCACTCCATACTAGTAGTAGTAGCATTGACTCGGACAAATCCAAAGCAAGACACCCATTCAACCCACTCACTCGCTCCAATGTCACACCCCACCACATCATTCAACCTTTATCTCTGCGGCCCTTCACTCAGCTCGACAGGCTTCCCACACGAGGGTGGTCGCACCTACGATCTCGTCAAAGACTTACTTAGATCAGAGCTCAAAGGCCACATTATCTTCAAGGCTGACCTGAACATTAAGGACAATGCTAGCCTTTTCCACCAACTCGTTCCCGAATCTTCATTGAAGACCAGACATATCGAACAGATCAAATATTACGGTCGAACTAATGGACCACCGGTATATCTTCAGGGCGCGTGGAACTTCAATCGCAAAAAAAGGCCTAAACTCACCGATCAGAACAACGACTCTGGGTCAGGCGACTCGGATGATGAATCTGGTACCAGCACAGATATTGTTGACACAGATGCTGAGGCCTTGGATTCTGAACATTCAGGGATAATCTCCCAGGACATGGACGGCACCTGGAGTTATGATGAATATGATGGCACTGCAGAACCAGGATCGAAGAGGGGACGTAAGCCCTCATCGACCGAGAAAGACTTGCAGTGCCTCTTCAAAGCCATTCAGTACACCCTGCGCCATAATTCGAAAATTCGAGTCAAACTTCCCTTCCAAATATCGAACATCAAATGATACTGGTCTGCAGAGTTTGCTAACTCACCAATACCAGACCCTTACAATGCACAAAAGCCCGATGTCGCTTTATTCTATTACAAGAGTAAAGCTTACGAGAAAACATGGACAGACGTCCTGAGCTTTGTCGAGCATACGACCTCTGACTTCAGCAAGAGGTGTGACTTAGGAGTGTACTGGGGGTCTGCCACTAAATCATATCTCATCATGTGAGAACAGCCCTGGCGTCACTTCATCCTCTCATTCTCTATCTGTGCAGAACAGCTTCGTGCCCATTATTGCGACCGCTCAGGCCTCATCATAACTCTTCCAACTCCCATCCAATCCTCACCCTCTTGTGTTGCTGATGCAATAGCTGCTCTCTCATTAGGAGATCTGAGTCTCTTGGGTCTCGACCCCACAATCCATATGTGCATCCCTTCTTGCAAGGGTACTCACACCAACCTAGTAGCGGGGGTGATTGGTTGGGTAACTAACAATTCTAATAACAGGTACTCGATTATGGCTGTTCTGTGGAAGAGCCAGGGTCTATTTTGTCATGGAATGGCTTGCTACCGCGTCTGGGATCCTGTAGATGGGAAGGAGTACGCAATGAAAGATTGTTGGGTCGCTGAGGCAAAGAGATACCATGAAGTGGATGTCCTTGAGAGGGTCAAGGGCATCCCTAATGTGGTCTAACTCGTAGACCATTGGGATGTCCAATTCAATGGGGAGCCTGACTGCATGGCCTGCATTCGGGATGGATATGGTGCCCTGCTTGGCGACAGGCCGGACAAGAGGTTCTGTAACAGGTATCACTGGCGCCTTCTCTTGACCCCATGCAGAGATCCGTTATGGGATTTCAGCTCCAGAAAGGAGCTGATTTGCGCCTTTTGTGACTTCATGGTTGGTGAGTTCAGTTTCATGCGCTTGGTTTGTTGTATCATCTCACATTTTATCTATAGCTCATGAAGCAATGATCCAACAAAGAGTTCTATATGGAGACCTTAGCCCAAACAACTTTGTAATTTCTGAAGGCATCGGTTATTTCATTGATTTTGATCACGCATCAATCATAAAGGAGGGCGAGACATTCACAGTTTCGTTTGGTACTGTAAGTTTGAATGTGAAGTTCATTGTTCTTGCTGTTGATTGCTGAACTCAACATTTCAGGGAACTGTACCATATATTTCTATGTGCATTTTGAAAAAAATGTCCAAGAACACTGACATCATCAAGAAGTCAAAGACAACCATTGATGCAAAAAAGAGCAATAGCAACACCAACAGCATCGCTCAGCTGGAACTGGTTGAGCACAACTCCAGTGACGACCTTGAGTCCCTTTTTTACATTTTTTTTGAATTCGTTTCCAAGTACGGCGGGGCACATGGTACACTCGCTCCAACTTGGGATAAGACGACTATGCCGTGGGCAGATGCCTATGAAAATTTGGGCACTACAAGCTTGCCACCTTTTTGGCGAAGAAGGGAGCCATGTCCGAAGATGATATTCTGACGGACAGGGTATCAGAGTACTTCACAGAATTCAAGCCCATTATCAATGAATGGCGCACTCGAATTCATCGCACAGAGTCCAATCTCGAAGGAGCCATCATTCATGAGCACATTTTTCAAATGCTTGCCAAATTCATCACGAAACTCAACAATGAAGAACCAAGCCCATTGCCCTCTCCACCCCTTCCAGTGGCTCCTCCAAGTGCCCCAAGTACTCATCATACCGGGGCTCCCCCCATCGTTCAACCCATGGCAGGGCCTTCCCTACGTCGTTCATTACGCCTCAGCGCAGGCCAGACCTAACTATACTGGCATGAGCTCATGCAATTCTGATGCCTCTTCTTGGAATATCCTTCATCTGACCTCACTTCTACATCTTCCTATGTGTTTATCTTTCTTTCATGCTACCTTTAGTATGTACTCAGACGCAATTATGATTATGTAACATGAATTATGTCATGTTCATCGGTATAACTTAGAGCTACCTTCATACATATTCAGGTCATCTGGTACCATGCCTCCAAGGAAGAAGCCCAGATGTTCTTCTCCAGATCTAGAGGCGCCTGCTCGCCGAAGCTCAAGACCTAACCGTGGCATTGGTGGTCATGCAGCACAGCTGCAAAGAGTTGGAGAAACAGTTGCTGCCCCAACAAGGAAGGGACCGAAGGGCGACAACCTTCAAATCAGCAGCTCAGAAGAGAATCCTATGGCTCCTTCGCAGCTTCAGAAAGGAAAGAAAAAAAATGTAATGTGAATCTTTTAAAATTATGTTCAAGCTAATTTTTTCAGCCTCCTGCAAAACCTCGCAGCACTGCTAAGAAAACCCTGAATGAACGCAGAATGACAGAAAATAGCCAGCATTCTCAGGCTCCCACTTCCCATCCGAATCAATACGTGGCTCACTCTTCTGAAAGGTTCGGATTCAAGGAACCTCGGTCTAATGGTCGCAAAATGGCTGGAAGGAACGTGGGTCAGCAAGATGCAGGTCATGAGAGGGAGTCTACAGAACGTGATAGTGGTTGCGAGAAGGAGAGGCGGAATACGGAGGATTACAGGGAGTTTGCGCCAAGCTCTCATGAAGGTGATACTTCTGACGACAATGCTGACTGTGATGATGATCCTGACAGTAACACACCGATGTAAGTGTTCTTCGGTCTATCAATTGTGTTATTCCTGATATTATGTTCTCATTGCAGGGACAGATATGCCGGTCAGCACACGCACCAGCGAACGGACGATGCAGACAATGGAATGGATTTTGACAAAAATATGGATCGACCTCGTCCTGATGATGAAGCTCAAGGAGGTGTTGAACCAGTAGCCTCAAATGACGAGCTCACAGACCCAGAGCAGGATAAAGTATCTACATTTTTTCTTCTCTATTCTTGCATTAATTATTTGTACTCAAGGCTTACGATGTTCTCAAGTGCCACCATGCAAAGAATGGGCAGCAAAAAGCTCCTTCACCAACCTATCTGTCGAAGGGGAAGGGAAAGGAACAGGCATGCACTTTTAAGCTGCCTGGAGGAGCTTCTACTGTTCAAGTGGTTCGTAGACGCTCACCTACACTTCACTCACATCCCTCTCATTCAAAGTCTCCACGTCAACAATCATCTCAGCAAGACAGATATGTACGCACTTCATCCTCACGTACACAGTCTCCTCTTCAGTGCCCATCTCGACCAATCACTTCCTCAAGTCGCAGTCATACACAGCCCACATCTCGTAGGAGCTCTCCACCACATTCTCCATCTGACCCTATTCTACCCTCAAGCTGTGAACGTTCTCGTACCTCTACACCTGAAGATGCTCATCAATCCAGCAACAGCAAACAAAAGGTCAAGACAAACCAAGAGGATCCCTCGAAGCTAGGATTTTATCCGCCCACTTGGCAAACATTCCTGCAGATGGCAAAGTTAGAGATGCGGTTGCAAGCTGTTCTAGCTACTCCAGTTCCGGAATCCCAGGAAGCCCTTAACCTTGCAAGAGAAGTCTTGGACACTGTGCTATGGACATACCACGAGAAGAAGATTAAACTCGAGAGAGGTATGTTCTTCCTATTCCACCGTCTACCCTTCTCACCGTTTGCAAGGCTACTTTCCGGAGTACAGCACACAGATGTGCCAGCTGGTACATTCTTTGTTTATTGATGGCTCATGCGCTCACTGATACCATGTCCATGAGCTTTGCAATGATCTCTTTACATTTCACACAGAACTCAAGAAAATTGTTGTCTCTATTGCCAAAAGGGCATACAATATCTTCCTGCAGGGCTCCACAATGCGAAAGGAGGAATGTCAAAGGCAGGTCACTGCAGCCGCCACTAGGCTCCTCAAGAGTGGTGACTACCTCCGGCTCCCTGACTCATCTGGTGTAGGTTGCAATTCCTAGTCATAGCATTGTTTAAAATTAATTTTTGCAGGGAAATTTCAAGAACTTCACGGCACAGGCTCTCAAGGACGCTTGTCTCAAATTCTACTACAGCAACAGTAAGAAAGCATTAAAGAACACGGACGAATTCCACCAAACAATCCCCATTAATGCAATGCTTCTTGTAGTAGCGGTGGTATGCTTACAATTCTTTATTTTTTCATCGCTGATAGTTCGACAGTTGAAGGGCGTTATCTCTGGCTTTCGTGAGACTGGCACCGACAAGGCTCCTGAATTAACCGCTGAGCAATGTAGGGCCCACTTCGTCAACTTATGGAAATCGATTGACACCCTGCTCAACGTTCTGGAGCGTCGCGAAGAGCTTGAAGACATGTTGGAGCAATGGGCTAGGATTGGCATGGGGGATTTCAATGAGTATGCAGATGGGAGTGCGAGTGATGCGGAGGATGTTAATATCATATTTTAGTAGTGCTCTGATCAATATGCCATGTTTTTTTCGTTAGACAATCATTACCACAGTTTGGATCATGTTTACTGTGTGAAACTGGAATTCAATGTATCCTTTGTATGGTCTGTATCGTGTGTGCAGTCTGTATCATGTGTGCAGTTTGTCTGCATTGTAACAAGATGTACAGATTGTAATTTGTAGGGGTATGTGACAGTATTGTAAAGGGGGGACTTCCTTGTGTAATTGTAATGCTTGTACAATACTGTACAATCTTGTACACTATTGTACAGGCGCCCCCTAGTTTGCTGATGTATGCTTGCACATATTGCATGCAATTATTTGCCCATCCAGGGCAGCTCCGTCCCCTCCAAACAGGCTTTCTCAAGCGGAGGGATCACCTCCACCGTGCAATGCAATGCACTCGCATCGTCCATGTTTGGCTCGTTACAGTTGTTAAAGGCAGTGTATAGGAATGGCCATGTTTCTGCAACAGTCGAGGCAGAAGCTGTGTAGTTGGATGTGTAGCTATGAGTACCTACCTATGTTTTTTTTTGCTCATTGTAAATAAATTTGGTTTGGTTCACGTTCGAACCTGAAATTAACCGGACCTGACCATTCTGAACCGTTCACCAAGGTCCAGTTCGAGGTTCGTTGAGTCTGGTAGAACCGGACCTAGGTCCGGTTCTTGGTTCTCGCTCGACCCTCTGTGAACCGGACCGAACCGGACCACGGCAGCACTATGCAGTTAGGATTAAACAGTGAAAGACTACTTACATAGGTATATTGTTGTACTGCACAACGTCACTGCGAGCAAAAAGGTTAGAGGTGCCAATCTGTTCACTGGGGCACTCATCCCCAGGATTCTCGCCTCGTTGTTTCTATCACGACTGAACAGAGAACGCTACCTGCAGATGGAAGAGAGAGTAAGTAAGTCCTGCCGGTAGTTGGTGAGCCGCGAGCCCAAAAGACATGAACAAGCCGCCTTATGCAGAATGTTGTCTGAAAGCTTTTGGGCAGGAGGAAGATGGAGCTAGAAGGATCAAAATCAATTAGTTGAAAATGCAATCACACCTATACGACGTTGTAGGACTAAGAATGCAAAAAGAATCACAGCGGTACACTGGTATCGAGATGGATGGATGTTAATGTCCAAATCCACAAATTTTGGGATGGAGGACGATCCCAGGATGATTATGGGATCGTTTTCCATGCATCGACTGATGGGAGGAAGGCATCTTGCATGCTGGGGATGATTTTGCTTGCAATGGAGTGGAGAGCAGGCCTATGTTTCAAGAGGACACGTCAGTGGAAACGGAAGAGGTATTTCAACAGCACGTTGAACTCGATCATCCAGCAAGTATATTACAATGACATGTAAAAATGTATCCACAAAATGAATTTATACTAGTTGCAATTTGCGTGCTTGCATGTGAAATATGAAATATGCAAGGTGTGCATGTGAGGTTTCAGCAGGTGTGCCATAGGCATGTGAGGAGCACAGCAAGCGCCATGGGTAGTAGGAAAAAAGTATACCGAGGACCAGGTCCACACAACAGAATGCATATATGGGTGTGCGGAGTGCAGCCAGTGTCGTGAATTGTGACCAAACATAAGGGAAATAATGCAGACTCCAACTTGTAGAGTGTGATACTATCAAGTAGTTGGCAACTTGTAGCGGTCTGGGAAGGGGTGCAGTGGTAGGAGGTAGCGAGAGGCTGTGGTGGGCTGTGAGGAGTTGCCAATGTCTGTTTGGAGCAGGCGGGCGCTGGGGCCCCGTCGTGGGCAGCTGCCGGGGGTCACCGTAGGTTGTGATGTGTGGGCAGCAGCGAGCTAGAGGCAGCTACCAAAGGGTAGGAAGCCGTGGTAATGTTAATAACCAGTCGGATGCGGGAGGTAGCGACTTGGCAGGTCAGGAACAAACCAGAGAAGACAGGAATTTGAAGGTAGGGAGAGAAGCCAGGAAGCGCTGGCAGGAGATTCGAGAAAGAGTATAGCACTGATACAGAAGCCAAGAGGGAAAGCCAGGAAGGGAGGTAAAGGTGTGGGAGGATGGGACGGAGGTGCGAGAGGGATGCGATAGGATGGGACGGAGGTGGAAGAGGGATGCGAGAGGATGGGACGGAGCGAACAAACTCATTGAACTAATCTTGGAGCGGCATTAGTCCTCGTTTGAATCCAGAGAAAACATTCAGCCTCAAGGTATACGAGTCTATGACAGTAAGCTCCTAGAGTTGGGCATATACAATGCAGGAGAGTCTTTGAATGCATCATATCGGATGTGCTGCATCAAAGATTATGGCGATAGAGGCAGTATGGAGGTAGTGGTAGCAGAAGAGGCGCAGGTGCCTGATGTGGGACGAGAGGGTGAACCGACAAGGATGAAACTAAGCGCTGGCCCGGGAGGTACAGGAAATGGCTTTGAATGCCTGAAAACACACATCAGCATCCACAAAAAAAGGCAAGCGGGTGAACACTTTTTGTGACCATATTCAAAATGAGGATATCACAATGGAAAGAGCAGGGACTCGATCTGCTTCGGATCGCATTGTTTCAGAAGAGCGGGAAAAAGGCGTGATAGAGATTTTTTCGTGAACAAACAAGTTCCGAAGTGTTGGCCACTTTTGCCTGTTTTGCTTGTGCCGCTGAATATAATTGTAAAGGAAGGCAAGAGCTGACTTTGATATCACTCTTTTGAATTGTCCTGACGTGCGTCTGCATAAAGGGTGTGTCATTGATGCAACGATGAGGGTTATACTATGTATAAAGAATCAACAGAAAGAATCCGGGAATCTGGTATGCTTTGCCACTGCTACTAGCGGATGATTGATGCTGACAGGATCAATATTGATGTGATCTAATGGGGAAAATGATGGGTGAACAGACGTTCGAGAGTCTGAGTCCGAGTCCGAGAAATGTGGTGGGTGAACAGATAGTATCCGAGAATTGAGAAGCTGAGTTCGAGAAGTGGAAGGTGGTACCGCTATCCTTTGGTCAGGGTTCATACTAACAATGACAGGTATGATATAGTGGACTCACTTCTCAATAGATCGGTCTCACGAAAGTGTGGGTAGCGGCCTCCCCATAATGGTTTGTTGGTAGTTGGTGACTGGCCGTTGTCAACTCAATTGGTGAGCATCCTAGAAGGGTATCTTCCCTGCTAGCACGATTTCCGGATGGCACTGTAGGACCTTCGTCGAGGAATTGATCAGAAACCTTATCTATAATGTCTGCAGCACTGCTAAGGTTGAGAACATGGGCGACAGCAGCATGGAGTGCAATGAGTGTCGGGTTCGGAAGGTGAATACCACTTTGAGAGCAATCGTGGAATCGGACGTCCATGAAATTCTCGAAACCAACCGGCATATCACAAAGCCAATGAATAGTGTATTCATGCAAAACATGCTTTCAAGTGCACACTGCACATCAGTATCTAAAATCTTATAACGAAAAACCAGACATACTGTGGGGTGTAGGCACCATGCGTAGTTGTCAAAGAGACCATGTAGTTCCTGTGTAAGCAGCATTCCATTCTCTGGCTGGTCAATCATCCTGGTCATGTCGTCTATGACACTTGTAGGAAGCTTGGTATAGTGCTTAATGATGTCAAGTGTTCCTGCGATGTGCTGCAGCAGAACAATCAGCTGAATTGGAACAGCAACTTGAGAGCTGAAAAACGTACACTTCCAGGATGGTTGTGAATAATGGATCTTCTCAGGATGTGGGCAGCTTGGATAAATGTTTCACGGACAGGACCAGGGGAATGTGCTGTATGGACCAGGTTTGGAGCTCCAGTAACAACACATTTGTCACCGTCTCGTTTGATGAGCTGGACCATCTTTAAATGAACATTCTAACAAGGGGAGACACTGCAACGCACCATACTCCGAAGGTGGGAACTTCGCGCCGATGGGGACATAGTGTCAGCAACCATTTGGGAAATCTAAGAAGTAAAGTGCGATGGTTGCGGGAATGTTCGGGCGCTCGCGTGGCTTTCGCCTATTTCGCCAAAGGCCATGTGGTTTGCGCTTAGCTCGCTTAACCTCGATTTGGCAACTCGCGTGGTTCTGTCACGTGTTTTCGAGCGCCGACTCGATTTCCATTGCCCATAACCATTAGAGCAGCACACTACGCAGGATTTTCCCTATTGTAATTGTTTATGGTACATACATACAGTAAATAATAAAACTAAAATGGAACAACAAATATATGTGGTGAAGGAAATAAAAGAGATCAGGAGAAAATGACACAAAAAAGTTGTGAAACATCAAAAAAGGGAGCAAAAGACAGATACTCAAAAATTGGAGAATGAGAGGACAGGAAAATGGGAAACTGGGAAACAGGGAGAATGGGAGACGGGAGACGGGAGACGGGAGACGGGAGACGGGAGACGGGAGACGGGAGACGGGAGACGGGAGACGGGAGACGGGAGACGGGAGACGGGAGACGGGAGACGGGAGACGGGAGACGGGAGACGGGAGACGGGAGACGGGAGACGGGAGACGGGAGACGGGAGACGGGAGACGGGCTGTTCACTGTACCGTATACGGTGTGCCGCTGAAGGTACAACAATTCAGAGAGTGAGTCTGAACAATGTTGGGTCTTGCAGAACCTAGCTGCTATTCGACCCTAAAGGGTTTCTGGACCAGGCTCAAGGCTCAGAGAAGAGGAAATATGATAGAAAACTACTGAAGACTCTGACTCCTACTGGTAACTGGTGAAAAGATAACTTCCTTATGTAAGCTACAAAAGTGCCAACATAAGGTAAGGTAAAAACAGTCTCTACAAGCCCAGCCAGAAATGAATCCCTACACCGCCGTATGAAGCTAAAACATAACCGTCTATTACGGATGAAAAAAAATATGCTGACGGTACGGTACGGTGTGCTTTACGGCCGTATACGGTACATACGGTACATTAAACGAGGTCTTGGACTGCAGCACGAGCCAAACGAAGCTTTGCCTTCAGCAACATTAGCGTCCTGATTGTCTCAGGCTTGAGGCTTGCACGCCGCATAGAGACTGTGTCCCGACCCCCAGAAAAAATACGTTCAACGGCAACAGCAGACCCTGCAAATAGCGCGAAGACAATAATTAGATACTATGAATGTTTTAGATAGGCTATACACTCACCAGGGATTGCAAGAACATCACGCGCGAGACGAGAAAGGTTGGGAAATTGTGCACGACGACCTGCCCACCACTGAATGGGGTCACAAGTATCGAAATCCTCCTGCGGGAGCTTCAAGTAGTGCTCGAATTCATCTATCGTCACATTCGATCACTTCTTGTACCTTGCTGTGAAGTTGACCTTCGTCGGAGACTGGCGCCCAGTGTTCTCTTGGCCTGCTTCAGTGGGAGATGACGAAGGGATTGATTGTGCCACCCTTGTAGCATACTCCTTCTTATAAAGAGCATGCAGATTGCTCTTCTGCGTCTCGATATGCATTTGTGCGGTGATATCATCTCCGCAGTCGCTGTGGAGCCCATTGTACGAGATGCGGGGGTCAAGAACTTATGGAATAGTTGATTAGCTAGCCAAACAAACTCGCAATGAAAGGTAACATACTTGAAGCCCAGACGTAGAAAGGCGACTCGTCAATCTTGAAGTAATAATCACTGAGCTTACGATGAGCACTTGTTAGCGCAGACCGCAGCTTCACTGGAGCTGAATCCGGAAGTTCTGCCAAGTCATCTCGAATCGACTCCTGGAGTCCACGGAATATTGCGTGTGCGGTAGATAGCATGGGACGCTTTGTCGTGGACATTTGTGTGGTAGCAGAGCGAAAGGCCTTCAACCATTTTGTGTGAGTTCGTCGTCGGTAGGTGGGGTCCCACGGGACTTCAAGAGCAGATATAGTCGATACATTGGTGGAAAATGAGTCTTCAGATGACCGATCAAACCTGAAACTAGTAAGAAACAAGACATGCCGTCAAAATGTAACATACCATTCAAACTGCTTTTCATCGCACGCGTGATGGTAAGGACCTTGCGGTTGCCCAAATAGCATTTGTAGTGTTTGTCGCCAACGTCGCCTGCTTGTCCGTCGGAATTCATCTCCACAAGCTCATAGAAATAATAGATTGGATTGCGCTTGCTGGCCTGCTAATGATTTGGAGTGACCCGAGTTAGAATAGCTATAAACAACAGGAAAGAACTCACCTTCAATAGTCGGGGAAGAGCTGAGCTCGTCGATGGCTGTAAGCTACCACTGTCCTCGTCATCTACTTCCTCCACGCGAGCACGCTTGGATGCCTGGGAGTCGCTGGTGGCAGGCAAAGGTCGGTTGGCCTTGCGCTTCGTTTTCTGTCGGAGTTGGCGTGTGTCGTTTCCCCCTCGTTGTGGTACAGTTTTCGTAGGCAGCATTGCAGCAAGCTACATAATTAGTAAGACCAGTGAAGAGAAACACGAGAAATAACTTACCTCCACATTTGTTATCTCCTGGACATCACTGTTAGAGCCTAATGACTCTGACTCCGAGCTAGAGTCAGAGTCATCCCCTGTGAAATCACCGTCATCGGCATCTGAAGGGTCAACTGGGAGAGATGGAAAAAAGTTGTCATTGTTGATAATGCCAGCGCTCTTCTTGGGTAAACGACGAGATCGGCGATGGCGACGCAGAGGCTGATCATCACCTTCACGTTCAGCCTGAATTAGGGCGTTCATGCGGTCAGGATTCTTGGGACGTTTTCCACGGCCAAGAACCACCTGAAAAGCTTGATCCTCGGCGAGTGCACATGTGTCTGGAGCGTCAGATGACATCGAGTAAAAATACGGGAACTGGGAGGGGGGAAAGCAAGCAATGGGAGGAAAGGAACAGCGCCAGGAGATATCTTGACCGGTATCATGGTTCCTCCTGGATCGGGGCAAAGTAATCAAAGAATATATGATCTGGACATGACATAGAACATGTTAGAGTGGGGTTGATTAGAGATTATAGTAGAAAACATACCACTGGCAGTACTTTGAGGATCTCCATAGTGTGAGGATCAGGTCCGGAATTGACTTGTTGCGAAATAAGACATGCGGCTACTGCATGTATAAGTCTGAAACTTACACCGTAATACGGCCGTATACGACCGTACAAATACGGCAAAATACGGGGCCTTTATACCCGTACCCCGTCCCGTCAACTCAAGGTTGAAACAACCAACGGTACGGGTACGGTGACCGTATTACGGCCCCGTAAAGTCCCGTCGTACGGCGTACGGTGAACAGCCCTAGACGGGAGACGGGAGACGGGAGACGGGAGACGGGAGACGGGAGACGGGAGACGGGAGACGGGAGACGGGAGACGGGAGACGGGAGACGGGAGACAGGAGACGGGAAGCAGGGAAAATGGGAAAATGGGAAAATGGGAAAATACATACATTTAATGATACTGTTACATATTTTTTGTAATTTTACTTCTGTCAAACTCCTGCTCAAAGAATGTAGAATTGACTGATCCTATGTACTACTTTTAGTTTTTTTGAAATGCTGCTCATAAATGTATTTTCAAAATCCACTATCAGGGCATGATCTTATTCAAGATACACAATTTATTAGGATGCAGCCTGAGGCCAGGAAGCCAAAGGAGGGCGCAGCCCTCCTTGGCTTCCTGTGACGAAGGAACAACACTCATCAGGAGCCTTCAGAATTATTGGGATGAAGCTGAGGCCAGGAAGCTAAAAAAAGAGTGCGAAGCACTCTTTTTTGCTTCCTGTGCCGAAGGCAGAACGGGTGTGGACTAGTATGGATGGTGGGAACAGAGGACGTTGATTGTGGAGAGTTGCTAGGCCTAAAGGCCTTCTTTACTTTGCTACGATGAGCAGCAGTCACACTTGCAAACAAAGAGGATCACATACATGGCCACAGTAAAAAGTGTAACCAATCATGTGCCAACTTCATTAACTCAGGGGCGGAGGAAGTTGAATTAGACATTTTCGCCTTTCTGTCAGCCGCTATGATTGCACACACTGCGTAGTGTGAGCCAGTTAGCAGTCCAGCTTGCTCCGAGCCGTCGATCATTGCATCCAACAGCTTATATGTGTCGATTTCGTAAGGGTGAATTGATGTTAATGAAGATGCATTGTCCCGAAGAATAGACTTTGCAAAACGCTTTGACTCATGATTCGTCTCCGGCGCAGTCCCACTTATCATGGAAAGAAGTTCACTTTTGAATGAATCGTCGTCTAAAAGGGTGAGGGTGCTTGCGCTGGAGGTACTATCCAAGTCATTCAAGTTGTCGAGAGACATTGGAAGAATATTGATCAAGGTAATAAAAGGCACAGAGACAGTGAGATGGCAGGAGGTACGAGAATGAGCGTGTGGGATTCGGCAGTGTGGTACAAGCATATGGATGCTTAGCATATAATAGAACAATACTGTGCAGTGTCCAATCAGCGGCAATCACATGCCAAGATACAAGCATGCCTGCTGGCAGGAGAGCATATATCAGGACCCTTGCAATTTCTCAACCTATTCCAATTCACGAACCCTGTAGAACCGCCTCATGCATCTGATCCTGGGATGACTGTAGCAGAGACGGAAGAACTCATGAGACAGCTACAGCTTCGACACCGCTTCGCAACTCCCAATACAGGAGACGAGGACGAATATACAGACAGGACTGCAGATGACATTGATGGATTTATTGACCCAAGTCTTCGCAATGAGGGTGAGTGAAAGCACAGACTGTGAGATTGTAATAACACACCCGCTACAGAGGATGGCAGCTTCGCTCTGCTTTCTCCCATGTCCTCACCCCTGCTGCCTCACTCTCGGCCACCCGCAGATCCATTTGTCCCATCTGGACAGACTGCCGCTGCCTCTAGCTTGCGTGCATCTGCAGCTTCAAGTTCTCGCACCACTTTGACTACCCCTTCATTACAAGGTTCAACTCCATTGTCCGATGCAGTTGGGAGTCGTGCATCTTCCACAACACCAGCAAGCAGCGTGTTCGAACAGACACGTCATCAAACTGTGTGCCCTGCACAGATGATTGATTTTCGCGCTTCGGAGATACCTGCCATACCTCAGACTGGTTTTTGACAAGGAGACAAGGTTTTGCAGGGGCACGATCTAGCTCAATCAGGGACCAATCAACAATCAGCGACTGCATAATGAGTACACACCACTGTATTTTCTGATAGTGGCCACTCTCGATTCCACCGGCCTAGACCTTGCCGCGAAAGTTGACCGGTTGTCATTGAAGTGCAGATTAGAAGCTCTGAAACCCCAAGTCCAATATCTTGTCGAAGAGAACGAGACCTTGCAAGCAATGGTTAACAAACATCAGGCTTCGATCGAAGTACAAACCACGATCAATCATGATGCACATCATGTCACCGAAGTGAATACAAGGTCACTGATAATTGTGGCTGTGTGCTCCACAACAATACTGCGAAAAGCAAACAATTAAGTAATCATCATATCGACGAGCGCGCGCTCTTTTTTTTCTCTTAGTAGGTCACTGCCGTGTGCCAGTCCTTGGGGGAAGTTTCTGACAGTCACTAAAGTAGTGTACGCGAATGCCCCCTCGGTGTCAAGAGCTAGTCACGGGTTTCCTAATGTAATGTGGCTGTTTCACAAGTCACAGATTCGCTGTCACTTTTGGTTTGTACATGTCTGTTCTTTCTACCGAGTCTAACTTGAATTTTTGAATATAGTCCACCACTTTTCTGTTGCCTCGTCAAGTTTCACTAATCGCTGATCCCCAACACGAAGATATTCGTTGGGGTGACTCCACCGGCTCCAATCGTGTCACCTCCCTCAGAGGGGAGTGTTGACTGGCAAGCTAACCTTCAAGCGATTCGAAACCTCATGGGCGCGTTGTGAGCATCAATTATGCATGTGTATCATCATTTTATAATCCGTCATCTTAGCTGTGACGGCTACGACACTGTCTTACCACTTACTCACCACCTCCGCTGCTGGATCGATGATGACAGACTCGATGACAAACATTGGGGTGCCGAGATGTGGGAGGTGGAGTTGTAGGAGAACAAGAGGTGGGCTCCGGCCCTTCTTTATCCTCCTTGTTCGGCACACCTTCTCAACGCTAGCGCTCATCAACAAACGGAGACGGAGAGAACCATGCCTTTTCATTGCTCGAGACACAGACGTTCATGACCTCGACTCAATCCATACATTCGCTAGCAATGTCTTTGTGCAATTATTTTCTCCTGCTTTTACTGCGCGAACCATGAAATTGGCTTCAGACGGGTCTTCCCTGCCCGTGGACTTTGAGCTGACTTTATTTTCCGAGGCTGTAAAGAATGTCGACTGCACCATCATGCAATCTCGGGAAGTGAAGTTCGAACCTTGACCGCACGCTCAATGCGTTTCTATCCCTGTCAGGACCGTGGTTCATGGAAGTCCACAAGGAAAGCATCAGAGTAGCTGGTCAGGAGATTTTGGTACGTGTTTTTACCATCTTGTGTACTACTAGTTCTTTCCCTCTTTCCTTTATCATGAACCCCCGCACTTTGTCAAGATGCTCTCAATCCTACATATGCCATGTTTTTCATTTTTGACATCCGTCCTCAGCTCTTCTTCCTTCTATTACCATTTAAATCAGCACCAATGCCTCCTGCACGGAGCTCTATGGTGAATGCCATGGCTTCCACCCCAAGTGGTGGCAAGATTTATTACATCATTACCTTCAACTGCGATAAGAGGGACGAATGTACCCGAACTCGCTCTCAGCCCCAAAAATAACGCTTTTAGGGTCATCGTGGCTTTCAATGCTGCCACAATGCACAACTAAATCGCATCTTCTCCGGCTCGGCATTCTGCTGTCGGCTCTCCTGGCGGTGTGTCAGACTAATCACAGTGATGCCAACGCAACTGTAAGTCTCGCAATACAACGCCTTAGTATTACTGATATGATACCTTCCCTTAGCTTGGTAGTTCGTATTGCTTTCCGCACTATCGCATTAAGTTTCACTGTCATCTGCTGCCGTGGTAGCTATATTGTCAGAGCAATGACCACTTCCGGGATGCGAAGGACAACAGCCTGAGAACTAGCGAACAACAACAACTCATCGAAGTTGCAATTGCAATATGCTCACCAGAACAGGCGCTTGGCGCTTTTCACACCAGCACAGGGAATATATGTCTAAAGACTCCGTAGGTCAACTTTGGGAATGGTAACTATTTGATGTTGAGGTCGCCGTCGCAGGGAAAACTTCGAAGTGGAGTTCAGTTTGTTGGAGCGGAAAAGTTTATTTTGCCCCTCCTTGAATAGTTCAAGGACCGTGCAGGCTAGCTCAACAATCGAGGACCGCTTGTAATTGCTCAACCTAGGTACTGTGACAGCCTGGTTCCTTACATAATCACGAACAATGATGTCATTTCTGCTATAAAGCCTATTGACTTTCAATTCCACTCCACCATATCATCATGTCCTCTTCCACCACAGACGACGCACCCCGCCCTCCTTCAAAGACCGTCGAACCAACCAAAGTCAACACCGCACCACAACAAGGTAGGTACTCTATCCATTCGATCTCACTTAGACTTAATAAACGCAGCTTCCACTTCACCTGGTGACGGCGCTCATATTCCCGCAGACCAGATTCGTGATCCCTCCGAGGTCGATTACAATGACCCCAATATCAACGTGGTAGAGGTCCCTGCAGAGAAAAAACGGTCCCCCACATTCAAAGAACAAGTATTTGGTGAGCGTCACTCATACAATTCGAACATACAAACTGACACCGCCGATAGGTTATGCCAAGGTATGATCCGCATCGATTGTAACTTATTACTCGTTAATTACCTTGCACAATTGCACTCAGGTCATCCGTGGAAAAGTCAGTCACTTGCTCGCCTGCTATTGTTCTCTTGATTTATCTGTCTACAGGCTTTTGGTAAAACAAATGTCAAAGAGCACGGGGAACAAGTGTTGCGAGGTGAAGAGACCATTCCAGTGAAACGCCGTCGAGGTTCCACTTCGGATTGATATCTTGGTCGTGTCAGTGGCTTTCCTTGTACTCTATCCTATTAATCATCCGTCACCGTAGACCACTTGTGGTATTGTATAGTAGGACATTCAAGGTATAACATAGTTACCCACATGAAAAATTATCTTCCCATCGCCACAAGTATAACCAGTAATATACGAGATTTCCCGAATGTTCAAACGTTCAAACTCCACACTTGACTGCTTCAGGCATATGCACTTAGCTTGAAATGGGTGATTCCCTTGATTATCACAGGTGAGAGAACGAAACTGGTAATTTGCGTAAAGAAAGATCGCCCGTGACGATTGCAAGGAGATACTGGCGTGTGACCCATTCAATTCCGTTTTTTTTAAAAAAAAAATGGATCCCGGAGAGAATGTACGAGCTCTCTACATTACGTGAAGGGTTGAAAGCAAAAGTGAAGTTCGTTGAAGAATTAGAGTGTTTCCGAACGGCACGTGAATCAACACAGCTCGAAGTATTTTCACCCGCCTTGTGGCGCTGTCACAAAGCCTAATTCCAATTTCACCCCTTTCAATAGAAATACAGATACACATACTAATTACCGCGCTCAACATTCCTTCAGTCGGCGAAAACACACGGGAGCGACGCTTAAAAGCGGAAGGCTTTCATTAGCGTGTTCTCGCTTGAAACCCCCACTTGGACAACCACCATCATGACGTTCTTCGTGCCATCTCCTTCACCTGTCTTCGATGAAAAACATATCCAAGAGTCTGTCCCACCTCTAAAAATGCACCCAACCAACCCAGTCGTCTCTAGCGCCGAGTTTGTCCTCGAAGTAAGTTTTCATATAGACGTAGTCCGAGTGGAACTCATTTTAATCAACGATACACTAGCAAACAAACATCGTCAAAATCAACGACGATGCGGTCAAAAAAGCCACACAATACGTCAATTCAATCTTTCATATAATTCGAGAGCATTGCGCATCTGACCGATTTACGCAGATTTTGAAACAAGTGTCTTCCGAGCCCTATACTCCGCGTACATGGCGCACGCACCCCTTGCACATCTGTCCGCCGGAGCCGTATGACCCTGACGATATACTCACTGGTGCATGTCTGAACTGGATATTCCTCATCTCTTCTTTAAATTTCAGTTTTTGGTCGGAAAAGGAAGGCCAACAGGATCGGTACGGTATTGAATGGCGGACTAGCTGGGGTAGCGAGACAATGACTGTGCACACTGGATACTGGAGCCTAGTTGCTGCTTTGAATCGAGGTGGGCAAACGCGTCATCATCTTTTGTTTCTTATTTGTAGTCCTGAATCGGACCTGATGGTCACTAGCCTTAGAGGAGGGTATACCCATCATCGATCCCCGATTTTATTCCTCCGAGACGCTGTGCCCGGACTCGCTGATCGCGCACGTATTCCGCGCTGCACCCCAATCGGCTGAATCGATGCCCCTGTTTAATGAGCGTTTAGCGATCATGCGCGAAGTCGGTGCTATATTGTGCAACGTAAGCTTTTCCCCCATGTGCATATTGCAGGCTGGTTTATGGACACAATTAATGTATAGAATGAATTTGGAGGTTCATACCTAGGGTTTTTACAAGCCTTCCAAACAAGATACGACAATCAGGGCACGGCGCTCGACCTCGTCCAATTCGTCACAGATTCGTTCCCGAGTTTTAGAGATGACCGAATGTTCAATGGACGACGAGGCAAGTCAATATTAATCATGGCACCCAACCAATATCTATCAATTCCACAAGACTGACGAGTCTGTGCTTACCAGTATATTTCTGGAAACGGCCCCAGATCCTAGTAGCAGAGACCTGGGCAGCCTTCTACCCCGAAAATCCCTACACCCCACACCCGATCTTCCCCGGCCTGGACGGAGCACGCATCAGCGCCCTAACGATGTTCGCAGATTACCGTGTCCCCCAGATCCTGCACCACCTGCGCATCCTTGCCTATCCCCCATCGCTCAAACACGAGTTGTGCACCGGAAAGTCACTCAGAGCTGGATCGAGAGAAGAGATGAGCTTGCGCGCGGCGAGCATCGTTGCTGTTGAACGCATGCGAAGTGAGATGATGAGGTGTGGGTCAGATTGGGAAGCGAGCTGTGTTTTGATTGATTTCTATCTTTGGGATTTGGCTAAGAAATTGCAGCGGGGGAAAGAGTGTCTTGAGGGGATTGAGACTGAAGACATTTTGCCTGTCCATAGGACGAGGAGCATTTGGTACTAGATTTCCTGAATTTTGGTAGATGTAGACTTCGTTTTACTCGTATTCCACCGATATTTCTTTTAGTCTCTTTATTAGCGATAGGATCATAGATTTCTCGTGTTTCAAATGTAGAATGTAGACATGCACAGTGACGAGTTGCACTGAATGTCTCCGTCAGCTCGTTCACACCTCAGTTCCTTTGATGCGACACGCCATTCAAAGTTCCGGCCTATGCCGCACCAAGTGAACTCAAATGCGCGGGTTTCTATGATGTTTAAAATAGCTGAGTGAGAAGAAACCAACACCGACCCTACCCTGGTCATGACGCACATGTGGATCATCAAAACGCATACGTACGTGTGTACAGAGTGTACGACGCAAAGAACGCATGGCACTTGGCTTGCGATAGCGTCAATAGTCTATGGTGCGGTATGTAAATGACAATGATTGCAAACCACAAAGTCATTCATAATATCACTTAACCGAGTTCTGGAGGAGCCCCAAATTCATCTGAGGAAGATATCGATGGAGAACCAGTTTGGTCAATGTATCCGACAATGCCAGATCCATCTCTTGGGCAGGGATCCGTTGCAAGTTGGACAGGAACTGTGAGCCGCAGTTCCTTGAAAGGCGATTTAGAGATATCGGGGGGAGTCATGGTCAGGACTATACAATCCTTTATGACTAGGTCTCAGCTGAAGCTCTCGACAAAAATGTAAAGCAAGTGCCTACCTTGATGGAAAAACCACCCGCCCTGAAGCCTCCGACCTTTATATCAGGACTGATATAAATATCTCCTGAGAATGCAATCCAGTGTGCGCCGCCTTCACCCTATAGAATCACGTTAATCATCAAGCGCCCTTTGCCAAATGTACTGCGCATTGCGTGACATACTGCATGTCTGAAAGCACCTTCGCCAATATAATCGACTCTCCAGATGTCGGTGCGGGTGCCAAGTATTAAAGCATTGCTGTCGAGCGAATTATCAAGTACAGTTACACAAAGATCACTGAAAGAACACACCGAACATCGACAGTCGTCTGCCTCAACAACTGTATTTTTGTATGCTGCGTTTTCAGAGACGCGGTTACCACCGGTCCCAAAGGCATAAACGCAGCAAGAGACATTGCCGAAGACGAGAACATAATGTGGAATGGAATGGACTCGTGTATGCAGAATGTTCGACTGGCTGGGAGATATAACTGATGCCCGGAAACCATCAGGATTGATATATACATTCATTCACAACATCAACCAACCTTTACCATGATGTCGTGTCCTCCTTGATTTGCGTGAATCAAAGTCGGAAAGACCTTCCATTGCGAGGTCTCGATTATTCCCCATTGACCGGGTACCAGAGGTGGTGGTAATGGGGAAGATGGGCGAGTGCGAGGAAGATATACAAACGGAGTCGAAATCGTCCTGTAAACTGTGAAAAAGGGTTCAGACAATCCCACCTAGAAACACACCAATCTCCGCCCCTCAACAAGGACGACTTGACTGCATGTGGTATGATGTTTGGTTTGACAGCAATAACACTGATGCTATAATTAATCCTCGCCCGAAATCCAGGCAGGCCGGATAGGTGGGCCTCATGGCTTGGCGGGAGAGGCTGTGCTCGTAATCGTCAAGGTGCTGTTCAAATTTCGCGCCGTTTACATACATAGGATTTTCCGCCATCTGAAAAGGTGGTTGGAAGAGAGAGACTGAATGAGAGCGACCGCGGACATGGCGCTTCGTAAACTCTGTCCTTGACCCACAGAATTGTCTTGTTGAGAAACAGCTTGCAGTTTGTGGTCCCACTTTCAGCCAATTCCTCCATCATGAGGGTTCCTTCGATCTAAGGGGACTGTATCAGAATAAACCCCTATTCATCTGGCTAATCCGCTCACTTGAACTTCAACACTGGTGATACCATCTCGTTTGTGGATGTCGAGGGTACCCTCCACAGATGCGCCATAACCATAGACAGGAAACGTGACTCGGTCGTCTTGGCCCGCAAGGCGAAGAGTCACGCCACCATTTTTGGCTTGCTTTACAAATTCACGCGGCGATCGGTTGGGATTTAGACGCGCATTGTAAGCTAACCGGTATTCATGAGCCTGAGGAACAGCGGTATACGTCGGTGAATGGACCTGTGATGAGGGAGAAGGGTACGCGGGGAGAGTTAAATTGGTTGCAGTCACGGTGGTGGACATGGTAGTGCACTAGCAAAGTTCAGAAGGATCCATTTCCTTCGAGTGTTATGTGGAACGTCGAGCACCATGCGGGTGCTCGGCTATACTTAACCCTGGCTTCCCACTCCCTTCGGCGTCCACAACTAAATGAGTATCAGATTCGGTGAAGACGGTGAACTAAAGTTCGGGCGCTTCCTCAACCTTGGAGTTATGTTTCAATGGTGAAAAAAGGAAAATCGGGCCCGAGCTCAGTTCTCAATATGGTGGTCAAGTATGCTACACGGGGCTGTTCGAATGATGCTAAACATGTGGAATGATGTGGACAAGATGACAAGAAGCGAGCAAAACCATAATATGCACCTCGTGGCTGCACGGTTACAAGTGTGGCCAATATCCCACACGGGCATTCGGCCGCTTATAATAACACTAACGTACGCATGGATAAATAATCACACTCGCTTCTACTAGCAGGAGCCTCCAAGGAGTGTAAGTCGTACACTTTGTCGTCCCTACGCGAGGCTTCAAGAGAAGTGCCTAAAACCCACCCTTTCCACGAACTCGCGCGATACTCCCTTGGATCCCTTTGACCACCCCTCGAAATCCCGACCCAACGCCAGTAGAGTCCGTAAGTGGGTTGCCGTGCTTATCACGGTATATGCCATCTTTCTCCAACTCATGTAAATACGTGTTCTGATTTCTCCGGATGCCATCAAACCATTCCTGACATACTATTGGGTTGTCGACCATAACGTTCACCTCTTGGCTGTGATACCAAGACTGCGTGTCTGAGAATTTTTGATGAACATCTGTGAGTGGTCTAACGGTGAAAACGACTTATACCTTGGTTACCGTTGCCTACGATCCCAACAGAATCGTCGATGATCATTAGTTTCACCTGAAACCAGGTAAGGGCTCCGCTACTAGCTTCAATAAAGATAGGACGAACATGACAGTTCCGTTTCTGCGCGGATGCATTGATGGGCTTGATTTGATCCTTGCCTGAGATGATTACAGGTGAGTACTCAACAGACACCCTCGCGGGAGAAGCACATACCCGTATACCAGTAAAGTTTGAGGTTCTCTTTCTCCTCGTCAATTAACTGTGCGAACATCGTCTTGGATACTTCCTCATTCGTGCCGCCCTGTCCAGGAAGTGCTTCCCCACCATCATTAAATCCCACGTCTATATACAGTGTGCACTCGATGCCGCGCCTGACTGCATCCAAGATGCCTTCAACTACAGGGACTGCATTTAAAGTCGGACTTTGAATGAAAACCTTCCTTTGGGCGTATTTCAGCCCTGCAAGCCAGGCTGCATCCTGCGCGTTGTGCAAACCACTGGCGGCATTCCCAGGATTTCCGTTCGGCGCACGGTTTACCAATACCATGGGACATTCTCCATGATGTGTGTGGAGAATGTGCGGGGTGTATTCATCTCTGGACGATGCTGGTGGCTCATACGATATAGTGGCATGTGTATCTGGTTGATCTCCGGCATCTACATGGTATCAGACCAGGGAACTTGAATGTGAAACGAGACGATGGCTTACTGAGGTGCTCTGTAATCGTCTGATAGGTGCCGGAGATGAATGGGACTCCTGCAGGTAGAGACCCAGAAGAGGCAGGATCTTCCCTTTCTTCTTTATCCAAGTCTCTGTCGTGTATGCCGTCGGCCTCCTGTTGCAGTGTCTTGAAAAGTTCCGCTCCTTTCCTACCATCCAGAATCCGGGTCGTGGCGTATTCATTATCCATTCCAAATTTGTAGCCTCCCTCAGGCGGCCGGTACCGAGTATTGAGCAACGGAAGGGGTGGGCGCATGGGCCTGAACCAACTGATGAGAGCAGTGTCATACAAACTGTCAACAATCGGGCCCTCTAAGTGGATCATCATCTCCATATTAGGACGGTCTTGAATATTATTTGAGTTCAGGAGGGCCACTTTGCGATCCACGATCATGAACTTGCAGTGGAATGTCCCAAAAATAGGTCTTTGCATCATATAGTAATTCGCATATGAGAGACAACTGGTAACACTCACTGATGAAAATTTACCAATTCGAAGTCGATTCCCGGCATGTCGCTCCTCTTGGGAAGCTTGACTTCATCACTGGCCATTGCTGCATCGTCGACAATAATGTGGCTTTCCATGAGCATCTTTAAATTTGCACGGTCGTACATCATCTTCACCACGACCTTCTTACCCCTTTTCATGGCTCTGCGCGAGAGTTCGAGTAATGCATCGCATATCTTGCTAGCGGACTTGGATGCTTGCCAAAAGTTCGTTGCCAAAAACACCTCCGACTCAGCACGGACGATACAGTCATAATGATGCTGTATGATATCCGGAATGCTGCTCAACGCATTAGCGAAAGACGAACAAGCAAATAAGAAACCGTGGAATTACACAGAAATAATGCTCAGGTTCACAACACCTCTAGAACCCAACAAGGGGGGTGATACCACACCAGCCCAAGGATTTGTATCGAGCGTAGTAAGTACGTCACAGTAGATCTTTTTATGCAATGAGTCAAGATTATACGTCTGCCGCACTTCACTCACCTTCAAGAACAGATCACTTGGCCTACTGCCAAAATCTCCGCACTCGGCAGCGCGGTCGAGATCTGTTTGTGTAGGTTCACCGGGTGGAATTCGCTGTGTCTCGTTATCATTTCCGTGCTGCAGCACGCCCATGAATGTCTCCAGATAACCTGTGGAGGACGCAGGCTTCTTGTGATGCTCTGCATAGAGCGTTTTCACAAGATCTCCGGGTGATGATGCCGGGGAGGCTGCGAGCGCCGCAGTAAGCGTCTTCTGGGAGTGAGTTAGCGAGTAGGCTTTATCTGAAACGGTCATTGTGGTGTTGGAAAGAGCGTATAGCTGAGCGCAGCATGACGGAGTCGATACATCACGGAACTTGCTCCAAATTTCAAAAGTCTCCAAGCAGTACTAGCACTACGCCACGAACCAGTTGTGTCATTGCGCGGATGCAATCTGTATGCAAGGCCACGTGCGTGGGCCCGCTGAGCCCCTTTCGAAATTGGACGCTCCTTTGAATCTGCTGAGTTTTATGAAAATATTTAGAAAATTCCACATGAAGCCTGAGGCCTGACAACTTAAGCCATTAAATTCAAAGATCATTACTAGGGAACTTGAATTGAACCTGTGACACAAGAACCTAGTAGGAACTATTTGATCGGACATGCGTTCAGCAGAATTAAACCAGAATCTGATGAAGGTATGGAGACCGCACGATATGTATGATCTTGGTACAGGGGTACCAAACTTATAAGAACCATAAGTTAGCAATATAGCACGAGATAAGTAGTAGATATAATAAAGAGCAATAAGGATATAGCAGATGACGATGTGGTTGTGAATATATATACAGTGCAGTAACCAAAACACAATGCGATGAGAAATAATAGGTTTATGAGCGATCGACCCATGGTTCTGTAGCAAGTCGGATAGGGATGACGCGTTGAAGTGAAAGGTCAGGTCTCAATTGACCAGGAGGCAGTAGTAAGGACAGCACAATGTAGTCCTGGAACCCACTTTATGAGTTCGATTTCAGATTGTTTAAAGACACACTAGCTCACCGAAGTGCTAATCTGGCCGGTATTGAAACCAGTGTTCAACACGGGAACTTCACACTGAAGGTTGCCATTCCAACTCCATGTTACAGGTTCTTCTGATTCTGAAATTAGGACTTTGGAGGTGGGTGATGATTGCAGCGTCATCTGTCCGCGACCAAGAACTTGGTCGTGACTGAATGACGTGCCTTGAATGTTGACGGTAGTCTGCCGTAGTATAAACACGTTTAAGACTTCTTTTATTTCCGAGGGATTTTCGTGAGGAAGGAAGAGCTTCGCAAGGCTATGCAAGAAGACTGGTGAAGTCTCTAGTCGCAAATGGAAAGGTATCTTTTCCGAAGCGGTGAACACACGGACGGACGGAAAGAATAACTTGAAATAAACTAGTATCAGTTTCTGGATGATCGATCGCGACGACATCAACCTACATGACAACGTGCTGATGATGCATCGTTTCCTGTACCAACGGTCGGCTTTGTAATCCAAACATCCTCCATCCAATCCTCAGGAGATTGTTTCATCTCGCTAAAGGAATCTGGGACTGGCCTTGATGGCCGTACCCGGGGGCGGTATCTGATGTGAATGCTCATGTATGCCTCCCTAATGATGATGGTTTCAGTTTCCAGATGCATCTGGATCTGCTGCGCACTCGCCTCGAAAGCTTTTTTCCAATCATTGGAACATTCCTTGACTTTGTAACGATGATCTGCAGTGTGTACACTATGGCCACGCGTTGCGGTTTCGGTAACTCAAAGGATGGCGGCAAACGGAAAGGACGATCCTGGCCACGCTCTCGATAGGAGGTTGGGAAAGACATTGATAATGGCATGATGCTGGGACAGGTTTGTCCATTCAGAGTAGAGCTCTCCCATAGGGTCCGCTCCTTTGAAATAATAGTAACCCCCTTGGATGGTTGCCCTGAAAGGTAAATACGACCTTCAAGCTAATGGGTGATATTAGAGATGACGTAGTGGAACACCGAACACGACAGATCCCACATACCTTCGCTGCAACAGCTACAACTCTCCGGCGATTATCAAGTGCAACTTCTCCTCGGATAGTACTCCCCAGACCATAGGATGGATGGCGATCCTCTTCACGACAGTCCATCAATTTGAGGGTCATCCCTCTTTGCCGGTAAGTGAATGATGCATTGTCCCCACGTTGGATCAAGCGAGGCGATCTTTGTATGCACTTCTCCCCAGGAAGTAGTTTGGAAGAGTAGTCAGGTGCAGGCTTCGATGGTGTATACTCCGGCAGCAGCTGAACGGAGAATGTTTCCATGTGTGCAGAAGATATGTGGGACACTTGGAGGCTGAACGGATGGATACCCATGATGGATAACAGCTTTATACCCATGTCACGGTGAAACCAGTGGTGTTGACAGTTGCATCATTTTCGGACAAAACGTGGATCCGGGAACAGCGCCGTTGAGCGGCTACCGTGATGCGAAAAAGGACAGGTGCTTTGCATCAGGATCGAGTTGAATACATGGCGGTGGCCGGTGAGACCGCCGTAACAACGCCATCCTGTGTTTCTTGCTATGCTTGGTCAACGTAAGGGAATGCGTGAACAACGCAATAACAATGATCAAATGATGTAAACCTTGGCGCAGTGTGACCTATCTTAGGCACACCCGGCGGACGCTGATGAGTCTGACAGGGCGCAGAGAAAACCCTTTCCCAACACTGAAGCAAAAGCTCCCATTGGCAGCGAGGCCTCGACTGCCATCAATGATGCTGTTCTCAGAGTGAAACGCTGCGAAACTGCAGATGGATCAGTATGACGGGACGCGTATCTTAAATTCCGAGCCAGGCGCCAGACTTTCAGGGGCAGTGCCTTGCTTGAGCTGATGCGGCGTGCCCTGCAGTGGCTCAGTCACGGTGACACTGATGGGCGCAGGAGCAGTGCAGCTCAAACGTAGTAAAATTCTATTTTTGGAACTCCACTGGCCGAAGACCGAGGGACAAGTTGGCTATGCTTTGGGTACAGTTCAGACTGTTCTACTAAGTATTTTTCATGGTAGATACAATGTAATACTTGAAAAGAGAGTATCATGATCTTCTAGTTTGCGCGCTATTGCAGCAACTATAGTAAAACAGTCCCCAAGCGGCTCTTAACGGCTCCCGGGTAATAATGCAGTGCCGGAACCAATCACCTACTACTAGTAGGAAATATAAGCTAGACAAATTGGTAAACGTGCTAGGAGCTTAATGTAAACTTGCTATGTATAAAAGCTCGACCAATCATAAAAACAATAGATCCGGAATATAATAGAGTAGAGTATGCGGAAGAGAGCCGTGCTCAGTGGGTGGGTCTTGTAAAAAAACTGGGTCCTAGCCATATTACCAAGTCACTACGTGATCCGACCATGGGTCTGTCACCAGACGAATCGGATGAAGGTGTTTTGATCCAAGAAGCGGGCACTTGAGTGGTTGCAGAGGTTCCAGGGAGAGCACGATAAAATCCTAAACATAATGTCAACAGGGAAATCATAGGAACCATGGTTCAAGACTCACTCTAACTGAGAGCGGGTTTGTTGCAAAGCTTCCGACCGTGACATCTTCGGTGTATCGCAGTTCCCCATCCCAGTCCAGACAGTCAATGCCCTCCCCAAGGGGAACGTTGCGATATGAGTGATGATTGTCGGGTAGAGGGGAGGAGTATGTCAATTTGCCTTCTCCTATTATTTTATTGCTCGATTTTTGTTCTTCAAAGATTTTGACAACTACTTGACGGAGTAAGTATACGCGGATGGTGATTTCCTCTGAGGAGAGCACAGGAAGGCCATGCTTAGGTGCAGACTTGTCAATGAATGGAGCTAATGAACTCGATGGGGCACGCAATTGGAGGTGGAACGGTATGGTCTCAGATAATGGATAAACCTGTGATGAAGGAATAAAGAGCTACCACAGCAGTTAGGAAAATGACAAAACCACAATTTGAAAGACTTACAAGACATTGTACCGGCGCGAGCCTGGAATTTTGTGTTGCATTCATGGTAGAGAGTACTTGATGCCATTCTTCGGGGGAGCTCTTCACCGTGGTCATGAACGGCACGTCGCTCGGAAGCATAGGTGTGTGTGGGCGAGAACGCGGATGATAGCATACGGGTACCACGAGGCTGTGGATTGTCCAATCAGGAAATGTGAAATTTAAACACTGCTATTCATGCTCACCAATCACTAGAGCGAAAAGATGATAAGAATCGTCGGGGTCTTGAGACTACGACGCTAAGAGTGTAGGTGCACGTCGCTAATTTGTGCTCGAATGAGGGGGGTAAAGGCTGCGATTTACTTCTATCCATGAAAGTAGAAGGAAAGAATATTGTAAACGGTAGGGTCATAGGACAAGGCTCGGTGGACGAAGAGCTCCACAAAGAATACGAATCAGATGCAACCAATGTGGTGATGGCTGCCCCTGATGTCTCAAGACGAAGGTGACCCTCGAGCTATTAGGGAAATAAGATAAATGCTAATGTGAAGAAAGATGTAAACTCTACCTTCAAGGTGACCTCTAGGAGGCCTTCTGAACTCCGCAAAGATATGTGACCTCGAACGAGTCCATTTCTTCCGTAAACAGGCGTTATGCTCCCCGGCTGCTGATCTCTTAAAACAAGTGTGGTGCTGTCTGTTATCCTACGAAAGACTCCGGTATTCAAAGCTTGCAGGGACCGACGTCGAGTCTCTTCAACCGTTTGTTCCCCTGGGAGAAGCTGTGTCGAGTATGACGGCGATGGTGGGGAAGGAGAGTATGACGGTGAAGGTGGGGAAGGAGTATATGAAGGGGGAATAGACTCCATTTTGATATCGAGGTATGAGGCGTTGGATCTCTTACACATTTTGGTCAATGGTGTTTATAGCAACCCAAGTATCCATTTCAGCGTTGACATATACGCACGAGTCATCCTGCGTCAGGGGGAACATGATACACAGACCGGCACCGCAACCTTGTAAAGATCGTTGTCTAGCTAGTACTAGTGTTTGATGCAGACTGACTCAGATCCGCGTTAACGATCAATGATTCTCACGTGTGATGAGTCTGATGACGGTTTGTGAATAAGGCTGTGCTATCGGCATTCAAAGATTCAGGCATTCTTCGTGGGTATCAAAGTTTAAGTTGCTGCAATACAAATACAGGCACAAATGGCATGAGCTATGCGTCGCAATGCAGCAATAAAGGAGCATCAGGACCTGGCATCATATATCTGGATCCAACTTTTCTTCCCTAGGAAGAATGGGACCAAGATCAACGACAGTATAGAAGGTGAATGTCTTCACTTCCGGGGTCTTCGCAACTGTGCGGGAAGGCGTCCCTGCACCATCCTCCGAGGGAAGTGGATCATCGGATCGATAGGTGTAAGAAACAAGCATATTAAACTGTACACCGATGAACTGAGTACGAGTCAAGGGTTCACTGACGCTTCTGTAAGCACATACCTTTACGTGACCCCGGGCTTCTTTTCCGATGACAACCTCACCCCCCACAACCGTAACATTGGCCCTCTTTTCCAAAACTCCTACAGTCTTGACTTTCCCTTTGCCATCTTTGTCTCGGGTTCGACCCATCTCCAAACCAAGCTCATCGTCTTCGAGCCCGAACATATCGTCGTCGTCATCATATTCCCATGCTTCAGCGAATGCAGCGACAGGGAATGAAGAGGTTGGCAGAGATACTGCGAAGGGTGTCCTGCGAGCCTTCTCCGGTGCAGTACTGTTAGTTGCTGCAGTGACATGCATTCGCTGCACCGAAAGTCGAACTTGAATGGGATCGTAGAGGGGATTTGTCAAAGCGAGGTGGAAGGGATACGATTTTCCGGCCATCATAGCACCAGCATTCCGGTCATCCGGGGCACTGGGTACCTTAGCCTGCGGACGCCTAGTAGCGTCAGCCCCTTGAGTGTGGTGCGGAAGGGCCACAGTCATCGCTGGCAAATAATTAGCCGCTACAAGCTTGATCTTGTATCGCACAGATTGTGCTTTCTGCTCTGGTTTGATGAGGATGTGCCTGCAACTCGGGCATCGCTTCGAGACTTTGGAATGCAGTGGGATCCGCAGAGGTCGTAGATCGCTGATCAGTTCACTCCAAGTTTAGTATCTTCTCCCACATGCCCAAAATACACGCACCTTGTTCCAAGCGAGGTGGTCCAGCTGTTTCCCCACCTTTGCTCAAGTGACGCAATCTCCTCCGCACTTTCCATGCGCCGAAGTGCCTCGACATCTGAACCATCTCCTTCAGACCCCAGCTGACCAAGAACACCAATCTCCATTCTACTTTTGTATTCTGGCATTTCGTCCTTGTTTGCCGTTCTGTCCCGGCCCACACGACTGCGAGCGAGAGGGTTATACTTCCCAACACCGGGAATATCACGCGCAAGCGCAGCGGAAGCAGCGGCTGTAGCAGATGAAGTAGGAAGATGATGAGAAGAAGTACTCGGAACATGTGACAAAGAAGAAAGAGATGATGTACGGAGGAAAGGTTCAAAATGCTCCTTCAGTCGCTCAAACTCCAGGGATTCGGGCGCAGAGTCTTCAAATTTCTGCAGCTGTGCTATCAAGTAGATGATTAGATGTAAACTGATGTATAGGAGGGGGCAGCGCACCGGCGAGTCCAGTTGGTTTTTCAAATGTTATCCCAACTTCGGCAGAGTCCCATCTGCAGTGGTTACAATAAAGAAAGAAAGGAGGCTCTCCAACGTTACTGAGAGACACGGAAGGCCTACCATCGCCGCCATCAGGAGGGTCAGAGGCGACTACTTGCAAGGTTGACCGGCATATAGGACATGAAAAACAATTTCGAGCACATCTATTACTTGTGAGCAACAGTCATAGCAAGAGGATAAGAGTAGTTTACCTGTTCTTTTCCGCGCGAACACTTGCACTTGGGACTTCGAAAAGGCAATTTGGACAATAGTAGCCACTGACTTCGACGGAAACGCAGCGATTGCACCGAACAGCGTCACATTCCTCGCAGAAAAACAAACTATGCAAAGGGTGGAAACTAGCCGAGGAAGACGCCATATGCGGAGGTGGAGGCGTCTGAACTGACTCTCCAGACTGGCATGGACAATAGTAATGGATTGTTGGCGCCATCAATGTCTACGTTCTTGTCAACAGCGACGTAAATGCACATCAGCGAGGACAAATTTCGGTACAGGGTGAGATGCACTTTCGGAACAATCGAAAGGTGTTGTACCTCACCGGGTCAGGAAGACAGAATGTGGATAGTAGAAAAGATTATAACTAACAAACTAACTATTACCGCGCGAACCTTACTAGGCTAGACTCTTGGACTAGGGTTTCCTGATGATGCGTCTGACTACAAGAAGAGACTAGAATGGTTACTCTCTCGATGTAAGTTTAGTATGCCCGCCATTATGAGAGGCATTCAACAATGCACGTCAATTCATAAAAGTAGGTGACTTGTCAGTCGATTGTCCATGTCAGTCATCGTATATATATAAGTAAGTATGCCGTGCAGTGATAAGTAGTGTCCAGATGGAGAAAGCCTAGCGCATAACCAAAATGGTATCACAGGAAAATGAGGCAGTACAAGACCCCAAGCCCGCTCGGGCCAGGTACATTCAGTAGCGTGCATCCCAAGCACTTTTGTATTCAGGAACGTGAACTGGGTTCGCGTTAGGCGCCAAATGCATATCATATGCTCCTTGCGGCGAGGGGTCGTAGAGTGGACGGTAGCTCTGGTGTGCGTAAGGAACCCACGTAGCTTGCGTAGAAGAAACGGGCTGCAAGCGACGGCGACGGCAGCAATAGTATCCGCAGATGCCCAGAAGCAAAACCGAAATAACAACGCCGAAAATAATACCAATCACCCATGGTGGCAGCCTGGCGTTTGATGTTGTGGTCGTGGTCGTCGTGGTCGTGGTCGTGGAAGAATGTGAGGCCAGCGAAGCGAGGTCATCGACACTTGAGCCATTGTCCAAGCGCACTCGTACAAAATCCGTAGAGGCATTGACAGCATTAGTGATTGGCAACAATTGTATGTACGGGGCATTGGTGCCAGGAGGTGCCCCGTCGACAAAAGAGCCGAAATCAATCAGGAGGTATGCATTGCGCACTGTTCAATTTTAGAACCTGAACGTCCTAGAGTAGTAGGTATCTAGACTCACAAAAGGCCATGCCGAGAACCATATCGTACATCACCACGCCATCCTCCGTATCATCGTACGAGAATGGTTGGAACTTGTTAAGACAATTACAAAGCTGGCAACAATCAAGGGTTCACAAACTCACAGCTCCAACACACTGGTTGTCGCCCATATCAAAGTTGAGATCAAGCGGGTGAATAGGGAATTTGATTCCAGCGAACAAAAATGTGGCATTAAGTTCTTGGTCGCAGGGCAGTGCCCAGATTTCTCCTAAACCCGCGATGTTCGTTAAAGAGGCACCGGGAACGTTACCATAGAGCGCCTCGGCAACGTGACTGTCATGATGTATCAGAGTAGATGAGGGTTTGTTACGAGGAACTTACGAAGAAACTTGGGGGAACGTGAAACCTGTATCAAAGACGACAGTCGCGTTATTAGGATAGGGTGTATCTGTGACTTGAGTCTTGATGGTAATAGGTTTGCCATCTGGACCGATGATCCCATTCTCGTCAAGTAATGTCATCCAATGCTGATTTCCGGGCACCATGACCGAAGTGACTGGGTGTTGAGGTTGTGTCTGAATATCTTCATATTCAGTCAAGACCTCTCCGATAGCAAGGTCGCCTGGATAAGGTTCGTCAGGGTCGTCAGAGCGATCGAGAAGAATAGCGACGAAATTCGATATGGTGTCGTTAGAGCGGAAGATTCGGTCGAGAGGAGGGTCTGCAGCCGCTGTCCCGCCGATGAATCTAATCACAGAGCCTGTGTATGGCCCAAGGCCGATAAGACCATCGACGGATTGTGTAAATCCATCCGTCGAGTTTGCAAATACTTTGTATCGATTAGCAGATATGATAGCGGATGAGAGATGCATAACGTACTGAAATATTGGGCGTCAATCTGATACCCGGCGAATTCCATCGTGGCTGAGAAGACTTCCCCTTGAGGGAACGGAAATGAACAATGGCATCGCATTAATATTGTCATAAATAACTCACCAGCAGCACCTCCAGAGGCATAGCCAATTTCAGCCTGGTAGTGCTCGTCAACAGCACCAGGAACCTGAGATGTTACAAAGAGATCTGAGCTGAAGGCAATAGCAATGTCAGGCTTTTGAGTTGCAAAAACATCGCTTGAGAGTGGTTAACTTTCCTGCCGGTATCGATCAGAACACCGAACAATTGACCATTCAAGGTGATGTTTGTCATGTACTGGATATTCTGGTCATCTTCCACAGTGCTTTCGAGGCCGCTGATGCTTGTCCTTTTCTGAAGCTTGGACCTAGAAATCCCAGCCTTGCCGTGCAGTTCAAGGTGAACCCCGTTTGCGGTGTTCAAGGTGACTAAAAAGCCAAAGAAAAAAAGTGGCAAAAACGACCTCATAACACTGGAAAGTACTGAAGAGAAAAGAAATAAACGGAGATGCTGAGCCTTCAGGGTTATATGGGGGCCGGCTGCATGTTTTACGTTGACAGCACAGCCTGAGCTTCATGAATTGATCGGACGGGCGTTCAGAGTCCACGTGTTGCCTGCAGTGCTTAGGGCTCACCATCTTCGAGCGGATCACTTCATTGGTTGTCTGTCATGAGTTACAGGCACCTGCTAAGAAGGAAAACCCATTTCCATTCATCTATAGGGAGACTGGGCGGCAGCATCCAGTTTGGATGGCCTACTACTTGTACAATCTGATAATGTATTGTCACTCAGCACTACTAAGGCACATGAGGAGGTCACTCACAATCATGAATTCATTCCAGTACAATGCAGTAGATGATCAGGCCATTTCCAAGGCGATTGCAAAGCACGCTGATCTGATAGAACGTTAGGTTGAGAAGAGAAGATGTTTGATATGAGAGCCTAGTAAAATTGCTGTGCAACGGTTGATGCATTTGATCCCACAAGATTTAATTTCATCACATCAAGTTACATACGTTCTCGTTTCCATCCTCCTCCACGCCGTGCAGGCTAACATATTATTAACGCTTTGGTGGCGTCATGATGCACTCCTTCATCACACTTTCCTTTGTTTCTTCGTTGTGTTCGACGATTTCTGTCCTTGCTCTCCGAATCCCTTTCGATGTCCACGTTCAAACACCTGCTAACAACCCAACAACCCATTTCCCTCGTCAATCGTCTTCCAATGGCATATTACCTGTCGGGAACACGCAAAACTCTTTCTACTACACAAATATCATGCTTGATGGTCAAAACATATCCGTGATGCTGGATACGGGAAGGTAATACAAATTTCACAGCAATTGCGGGAATTTGTTTATTTGCCCATTGACAGCTCTGATCTATGGGTGACCGGCTCCATACCTGGAGCAACAGACACAGGTAGCTCTCTGAAACTTTCATACGCCGTTGGAACAGCTGCTGGTCAGTGGCTCAAAGTTATAGCTCTCACGATTCATTACGTCCATAGCCAGGCGACATCTATACCGCACCTTTTGAATTTGCTGGGCAATCTGTCAGCGACCAGGCATTCCGTCCGTGTCCTTTTTGTATCACCGCTTCGTTTTCTGACATCCAGTACAGTCCTTGTTGCAAATGTATCATCTTTCTCCACAAATATTCATTCGGAAGGGTATGACGGTCTCATCGGCCTTGGCCCAAATTCTGGTTCCTCGATATACAAGAAACTCGACGGAAATTCGGGGAATAACCCAATCAACAGAATTTTCGAACAAACATCCTCAAATGACTATATAACTCTGATGCTCAGTCGCAAAGGAGACCCAGGGAGTAATATCACTGGCCAGTTCACCATAGGAGAACTCGTTCCAGGATTCGAGAATATTACCAGCATGCCACATTTGTCGATTGAGAAGGTTTACAGAGTGACTAATGTTGACCAGCATTGGCAGATTGTAACAGACAAGAATAATGGCATCATTGGGCCTGACGGACAGCCGATCAAATATTCATCGATTGCCCCCAAAGCTCCTGACGGCACAATAGTGGGAGTTTTAGACTCTGGCTTCACCCTGCCTCAAGTGCCTCGAACGGTGTCGGACGCCATCTATGGGCGTGTACAGGGTGCCGAATGGTCGGTTGTAAACCAAGCTTGGCTAGTCCCTTGCGGGCAACTTATTAATGTTACCTTCAATTTTGGGGGCGTTTCATATCCTATTCACCCACTCGATGTATCGTCGAGTGACTTTGGGGTGACCTTCTCAAATGGAAACCCTGCTTGCCTGGGAACGGTATGTGACAGTTCTGGATAACACGAAGTTGTTCTAAATCTGGACCTTCCAAATAGTTCCAACCAGTCACTTCTGCATTTAGTCTTCTTGGAGAGTATGATATGATTTTGGGAATGGCTTTCCGTAGGTTGCCGACCTGTTCTGACAATAATTGTTTGACACATTCGCAGTGCGGAACACATACACCCTGATTAATTATGGCAATTTCATCACCGGCGGCTCAAATTCCAATAATCCCTACGTCCAATTGCTTCCGCTCACGAACGTCGAATCCGCTGTCAACGACTTCATTCAGGTCCGGCTGAACGGGCAAAACACAATCAACTCTTCTCAATACGCCCTACTTCCTGCATCACAGGAACAACACTCGCCTGAGAGCGCCGCGGAGAAAAAGCAAGCATACGAAGAACTGGTTCTAAGTCGTTGGCCTTATATCGTTGTCGGAGGCCTGGTGCTCATGATTCTCCTCATAAGCTATTGCGTGTGGCGTTGTTGCTGTCGCCGCAAGCGGATGGCAAAGAAGGCTGCCAAGAAGGCTGCACAACAGAATGGGGGGGCTGCTTCTGTGGACGGTTTTAAGAGCGGTCCCTATGCGCAGTTGCATGACTCCCAGAGTACGGCGAGTCTTGTTATGCAACCGATGCGTGGGTCGACCGTCGATTTTGAGGAGGACTACGGTGGAAAGGATGCATTCCCAAGAAGTCGATGATATTTGCCAGACGAACTATATGTAGTCTAATAGATTTAGTCTACTTCAGCTGCAGGACACTAATAGTAGCTGGCTACTTCTGTTCATTGTTTGTATTCGTAACTTTGACAATGTTCAGATCTCAAATATATCCAATAGCAAGTCCGTTTCATGAAACTGTCATTATAGTATGTACACGCAAGCCTGTCTTATGACGATATGTATGCTACAACTTGAGATTTAGAATGCCCATTCCAAACCATCTCATTCATTAAAATGCATCTCGGAATCATTATGCAATCGATAGAATGCTTCGTAACCAATACTCAGCACCCCTGAGCACGCAATTGCCACTGGTATTGCTAGCGCCCATATAGATGACATGAGCCAGGCCCACAGTCATCGCCACCGAAAGGAGGCCACCGAAAGAAACTAATATTGGGTCATATAGTGCCTTAGCCTGTCTCGGCGCTGAGACAGCTGGCTGCTGTGGTTCCTGAATTCGCCCCTCCCCTGACAGTAGATCGAAGATACTGGCATTCAGCTTGAAGGCCTTGTTGGCCTCTTCCAATACGGCCGCTGGCGAATCAAAGTTCAGAAAACGAAAGTAACCCAAAGACGATGTATAAACCTTTCAATGTGGTATCATCACCAATACCAGCGTTCAGTCCATCTCTGTACCATTCCTTGATTTTCTTGAGATCCCCCATATTCGCAGATTCACTACTGTCCAATTTCTTGAAATCGTAAAATTGTATACCATCTCCTCGATCTGCATCTAGGTCGTATGCCTTGGCTATACGTCGCCGTATGAATTGGCCGCCACTCATGTCACCGAGATAGCGGACGTAAGCATGTGCAAGTAAACATGTGGGATCTGAAGACTCAGAAAGCTCCCGGAGGCGCGTGGTATATTCCACAAAAGGCTTGGGAGGTGACGCCATCAACGAGCTGTGTGATGGGTGCGTCTGCCATTCTGCTTCAGGGACCCCAAGTAAATATGATATGTCTTGAGAGAGACTCGGAGTGCGGGCAAGCAATGTAGGGTTATACGTTGGTTGTAGCGTTGGGTATGACGCGTGCGTCTCTAGACCCCGCTCGAGTTCGCTGAGTGGGAGTCAACACATAGTATGCAACGTGACTTGAATGAAGCTTACGCGTATACGTGCCATAGCATCATCAAGAAATACACGTATTCTTGCTTGTCCAGCTCACCCTTTGCGAGCCGGACGCCGCCTTGGCTGTGCTCTGCGGATTCATGAGCCTTGGACGTGCCAGCCCTAAGCAACGACGCCATTGGAAGTGAGAAATCGTAGTCATTGTTGACCTCCATTGCTATCAAGATGGTAGAATAGTGAGAAAGGTTCACGCGGTCCAGATGGAGGTCGCCTTATAAAGAAGTAGTATATATACAGGGTGTCAGATCTAAATGGCGAGTGGCTGGAGCAGAGTATAAGACCCGAAAGGACTAGATATCGATACTGTAGAACACCGCAAAGAGGGTCCGAAGTGAGGCGCGAGTTATGCCCTTTGTCTCAGAATAATTTATCTGGCTGTAGGAAGCACTACATCCTTGGTCCGCCAAATATAGGGACTTTATCGCGGGGGTTGTGTAGTTATCTGTAGTTTAGAGTAGATGTTTTAGAGTAGAATATTTGATAAAAAGGCTTTCTTCATTGTAACTACTTCGTACAATATATATACTGTTAAACGGTTAATACTATGCGTCCGATCCGAAACATATGAAAACGGACTTGTCTGTTCTCCGTGCTGTGCTTACTAATCGACACCGCTCCGGCTATTCCCGGGTAAGTCGGTGTTCCCTACATTATTCATCTATGTATGTATTACTAATCCTTTTACTCCTGTGCTCGTACAGTCATCATGTACGACTGAGTCCAACACTCCCCCTCGAGCACAGTCCACCTTCATCTTCCCTCTCAATTCCCTAAACCGTGGTGCCGGCAGTGCTTTCGTAAAAGCGTCCGCAACGTTTTCGAGCGTCGGACAATATTGGAGTTGGATGGTGCCGTTTTCGACAAGGTCGCGGATGTAATGATACCTTATGTCAATATGCTTGGTGCGTGCGCGGAATTTGTTGTTTGATGCTAACGCTATTGCTCCTTGGTTGTCGCAGTAGGTGGGGATACATTCATCCATCGGCTCGTATAGCTCACTGATGAGACTTTTTAGATATAGGATTTCGCGCGCTACCGACGTCAGCGCAATATATTCCGCTTCGGCGGTTGATAAAGCAACTAGCGACTGCTTTCGCGCGCTCCACGCTACTGGAGATCCGTGCAACAGGACGATATAGCCCGATATTGAGTGTCGATGGGGCTGACTCGCCCAATCAGCGTCTACAAACGCTTCTAAACCTTGATTTGTGGTTCCTAGGGTAAGTTTTGAATTCTTTGTCCCCTTTAGATAGCGTATGACTCGTTTAGCAGCTTCCCAGTGCGCACTAGCTGGCTCTCGCATGAACTGCGAGAGTATCGAAACAGCGAAGGCTATATCCGGACGTGTGCTCGTCGCAGCATACATTAGCGATCCAATGGCCTGTTGATACGGTACGTGTTGTTCGGGTATTTCAGGTTTGGTGTCTGGTGAATGGTCTGATGACTCTTTCATTAGAACTACTCCAGTTTCCATTGGTGTTTGCGACGTTGTCGCATCCTTCATCCTGAATCTCTCGACTATAGTGTCGATGTATGCTTCTTGCGACAACATTATGGTCTGCGCCTTTCGGTCCCTTTCAACCTTTAGTCCTAGGAGCCAGGTAAGCTCTCCTAGGTCCGAAATCTCAAAACGTTTACAAAGCTGATCTTTGAACTTTTGGATGTGCTTTAGGTGTTTTGATGTGACGGCCATGTCGTCGACGGAAACGGTGATAACGGTATGTTCTTCTTCGGCTTGTCGATAGTATACGGCTTGGTCGACTTGAGAGCGCGTGAAGTCGTTACTGAGGAAAAATTCTTCTAGCTCCTCGGACCATTCAAAACCGGCCTGCTTTAGGCCATATAAGCTACGCAATAGCTTTAATACCTTTCCTTCGTCTCCTTTGTTCAAGTATCCTGGCGGCGCGCGCATATATATGTCGTCGTTGAGCTTGGCATTGAGGTAAGCACTTTTAACATCGACTTGATGTATTTCCCAGTTGTGCTTAGCTGCCATCGTTAGGACAGTACGAATTGTCGTCATACTTGAGGTAGGTGCGAATGTTTCTTGATAGTCTACGCCGTACTCTTGGCGCTGACCATTTGCGACAAGTCTCGCACGCAGCTTTACCTTCTCGCCATTTGGTCCACGCTTTGTCGCTAGGACAAAATGGCAAGGTATTATATTCGCGCCTTTAGGTGGGTCCACAATTTCCCATGTCTTGAGTTTCTCTAATTGACCAATCTCATAGTCTATGGCTTGTTGCCATTCCTCTGCGTCTGGTCCATTTAACGCTTCTCTAAGCGTCGGTTCCTTCTCTGCGGCTGCCATGGCCATATATGGAAAAGAATTCGATTGAGTGTTGTCCGGTGAGTTTTCCATTGCTATGGTTGCTCTTTCTCCTTCATTTAACGCTTTGTAGTATCCTGCAGGGGGTCGTACTCTCGTGGTTCTGGGCGTTATTGGGTCTGGAAGTTGCTGTGTACTCTGGGGTGGCGTTTTGGGAGGTTGGCTTGGTGTTTGTGGGACTTGGGATGTTGCGACGGGCTGGACGATATTCGGTATGTTGATCTGTTCTTCCTGGTTATACTCCCCCTCGTCCAGTATGTCGTTACGAACGATGACGTCCGGCGGGACAAAGCTAACATTGCGTTCGACAGATACTCTTCTCTTCTTCGGCCAGTATACTCGGTAAGCTTTACTTTCCTCGTCTATTCCCACAAATTGACCTTCTTCTGCTCTAGCTTCGAGCTTTCCTCCATCTGGTGAGTGCACATAGAGTCGTGCGCCGAATTCCCGTGCGTTTACTAAACTTGGTTTTGCTTTGTGTAGCAATTCATAGGACGTGTATCCTGGGATCGCCCTCGAAGGTAGGCGATTTTTGAGCCATGTTGTGTAATTGACGGCTTCGGCCCATAAAAACTTTGGTAGGTCCTTTGCGAGTAGCATGGCTCGCGCGTGTTCGACTAATGTTCGATTTAGTCTTTCGGCTACACCATTCTGCTGTGGGGAATCGTGCACGGTGAGTTGTCTCTTTATTCCTTTTTCCTTCAGATATTCATCAAACTCCTTGCTTAGGTACTCTCCTCCTCGATCCGAACGTACTTTGCGCAGACGCGCATTATATTGTCGGCTTACATAAGCCTCGTATTCCTTGAATGCGGTAAGTGCGTCGCTCTTTCTCTTCAGGAATGTTACCCTCGTTTCCCGACTAAAATCATCTGTAAAGGTGATATAATACAGGCATCCGTTTATCGTTTCGGTTTGTGCCGGACCCCATAGATCTGTATGGACGAGGTCCCCATATGCGGATGATCTGGTCTTTGACTCGTTTGGAAATGGTTGTCGAGTGGCTTTGGCCTTTGCGCACGTTTCGCAAAAGGTAGGGTTTGAACTTTCATCTAACGTTATACCTCTGATCATGCCCTTCTTTATAGCATTTGTGATCGCTTCGTGGGATACATGTCCCAATGCTCGGTGTAATTCATCGATGGTATGTTTCGTTATTGCTGAGTTTGCGCTATGGGTCACTGATGCCGCGATTCGATATAGTCCTTCTATTTGAGGAATTTCGGCTATGGGTCTTCGCTCTGGTGCTGGGGTCAATATCCTGCACATGTTATCTTCGAGGTGTAATGCGAAACCGGCGGTAGCGATTCTGTTGGCCGATATTAACGTGAATGCCATCTTTGGCGTATATAGGGTGTCTTTGAGAGTCACAGTGGTCTTCTTTGTTCCCAAAGGTAGGTCTATCTTTATATCCCCTTTTCCTATGGCGCTGATGGTAGAACCGTCTGCAGTGTGCACATCTTGTGCTTTGATGGAGGTGAATGTTATGAACTTCGAGCGGTCGGGGCAGAAATGGGACGTTGCGCCCGAATCGATAATGGCTCCTTGTCTCTCGGCAGGTATGTTGATCCTTTTTGCCACATTTGCTAGATCTGACGTGACAAAAGCATAATCATTTGCTCTTTCGATCTTGTCTGCCGCATTAGCCGTTTGTCTTGGCGCCTTTCCACCTTGCCTTGGTCCCTGACCTTCTTTCCCTCCTCCAGGTCTCCAACAATCGGTTTTGTAATGACCCTTCCTCTCGCAGTTGAAACACGTAACATCCTTGCTTGCGGTGCTTGTACAATTCCTTTTCGTACTGTCCTTGGCCGAGAATGCGCTGTTGCCTCCTTTCTTTGAGGTCTTTGGGTTTGCTAGTTGTCTGTGCTCGTACTCTTCAGAGACGACACTGACTAGCTCGTATGGGGTGAGTGGTTGCTTTGTGATTCGGGCTGTCGCATTGATTGACGATAACAGGGGTCTGTAAGATTCTGGCAGAGATCCCATTATAATTGCGTAGAAGTCCTTTTCTTCTATGCTCGCCCCCATGCCTGCTAGCGTTTCGCGGATGCGAAACATGTCCCCAAAGTGAGTCTTCACATCACCTCCTTCCTCACATCTTGATTCTTGCAACTTCCGGCGCAGATCTATTTGAACTAATTCTGTCTTGCCTTCGTGTATTGTCCGAATTTCGGACCATATCTTCGAGGCGTTGCCAAGGTGCTGGACGCGCAACAATAGCTGATCCGAGATCGTGCTAAATAAGTGTTGCTTTGCGAGTGAGTCCTTCTGTAGATATTCATCTATCTTCTCTTCAAGTTCTTCTACTTCTGTTTCAGTTGCTACCGTGCCATCAGCCTTTTCGTACTTTCCAGCCGAGTTGGTCTTGTATGGGGTAGGTTCTTTGATTCGACCATCAAGGTATCGCATCAATCCTCGTGCGCGGATCACTGTTAACGCTCTTTCCTTGTAGGTTATCCAATTCGAGCCATCGTCGGCAAGTTTGGGGATGGTGTACAATGAGGAGCTGCTGTGGTGCGTGTTATCCATGATTGTCGGAGCAGGGCTCATAACCTGTAGTTATCTGTAGTTTAGAGTAGATGTTTTAGAGTAGAATATTTGATAAAAAGGCTTTCTTCATTGTAACTACTTCGTACAATATATATACTGTTAAACGGTTAATACTATGCGTCCGATCCGAAACATATGAAAACGGACTTGTCTGTTCTCCGTGCTGTGCTTACTAATCGACACCGCTCCGGCTATTCCCGGGTAAGTCGGTGTTCCCTACATTATTCATCTATGTATGTATTACTAATCCTTTTACTCCTGTGCTCGTACAGTCATCATGTACGACTGAGTCCAACAGGTTGTGAGGACCTGGAGGTGACTCGAAGGTCGTGTGGCGGCGCCTAGCCAGAGAAACACAGTAAAGGCCTAATAGCAATCTCAGCGCATCATGCACCGTGACACCAAAATGGACAGAATTTCGGGGTTATTATAGTTACGTGCTGCGCGTTTAATTTTACATAATCGGCGCTTAATTTACCAAGTCTCGGCGTATACCAAGTCTGTCTTACTATCACTGCCCGTTAGCAAATGAGTCAATCTGCATCAAACCTTCGCCACAGTCCACCTAGCCAGACAAAATTATCTTTGACTGCGGTCCCGGACTGTGCAGTATGTGGATGACTTTTGAACCAGGATGACGCGGGCATGAGTCAACGCCGAGTTTGACTCTTGCGCTGCTATAAACACCATTGACAGAGCCATGAAAGAGATTCAACACCTCATACCTCAAGATCAAAATGGAGTCTATTCCCCCTTCATATACTCCTTCCCCACCTTCGCCGTCATACTCTCCTTCCCCACCATCGCCATCATACTCGACACAGCTTCTCCCAGGGGAACAAACGGTTGAGGAGACTCGACGACGGTCTCTGCAAGCTTTGAATACCGGAGTTTTCCGTAGGATAACAGACAGCACCACACTTGTTTTAAGAGATCAGCAGCCGGGGAGCATAACGCCTGTTTACGGAAGAAATGGACTCGTTCGAGGCCACATATCTTTGCGGAGTTCAGAAGGCCTCGTAGAGGTTACCTTGAAGGTAGAGTTTACATCTTTCTTCAAATTAGCATCTATCTTATTTCCCCAATAGCTCGAGGGTCACCTTCGTCTTGAGACATCAGGGGCAGCCATTACCACATTGGTTGCATCTGATTCGTATTCTTTGTGGAGTTCTTCGTCCACTGCCGGTGATCCTTGTCCTAGGACCCTACCGTTTGCAATATCCTTTCCTTCTGTTTTCATGGATGGATGTCAACCGCAACCTTTACCCCCCTCATTTGAGAACAAATTTGCGACGTGCTCCTACACTCTTAGCGTCGTAGTCTCAAGGCCTCGACGATTCTTATCTTCTAATGATTCGTGAGTACAAGTAGCAGTGTTCAAAATTCACATTCCCTGATCCCACAATTGACAGCCTCGTGGTATCCGTGTGCTATCATCCGCGTTCTCGCCCACACACACCTATGCTTCCGAGCGACGTGCCGTTCATGACCACGGTGAAGAGCTCCCCTGAAGAATGGCATCAAGTACTCTCCACCATGAATGCAACACAGAGCTCCAGGCTCGCGCCGGTACAATGCCTTGTAAGTATTTGAGTCAAATTGTGGTGTCCTCATGTCTCTAACTGCTGTGACAGCTCTTTATTCCTTCAGTACAGGTTTATCCATTTTCTGAGACCATACCGTTCCACCTCCAATTGCGTGCCCCATCGAGTTCATTAGCTCCATTCTTGGACAAATTTGCACCTGATCATAGCCTTCCTGTGCTCCCCTCAGGAAAAATCACCATCCGCGTCTACTTACTCCGCCAAGTAGTTGTCAAAGTCTTCGAAAAACAAAAGGTGTCCAAACAAATAATAGGAGAAGGCAAATTGACGTACTCCTCACCTTTACCCGACAATCATCACTCATATCGCAACATCCCCCTTGGGGAGGGCATTGACTGCTTGGACTGGGATGGGGAACTGCGATGTACCGAAGATGTCACGGTCGGAAGCTTTACAACAAACCCGCTTTCGGTTCAAGTGAGACTTGAGCCATGGTCCCTATGATTTCCCTGTTGACATTATGTTTAGGATTTTATCGTGCTCTCCCTGGAACCTCTGCACCCACTCAAGTGCCCACTTCTTGCGTCAAAACACTCCCATCCGATTCGTCTGGTGACAGACCCATGGTCTGATCATGCAGTGACTTGGTAGCATGGCTGGGACCGATTAATTACGGGATCAACCCGCTGCGCACGGCTCTCTTCCGCATACTCTACTCTATTATTTATACGTAGTAAATTCACATTCCCATTAAGTTCCTAGCCCGTTTACCAATCTGTCTATTAATGACTAGCTTATATCTCCTAGTCAGATTATTGGTTCTCTGAGCAGCACTGCAATACTACCCGGGAGTCGTTGGGAGACCGTATTACTATATTTGCTGCGATGGCGGAACCAACCAAAAGAGCATGAGACTCTTCAAGCAGAATAAAACTGTTTGAAGTGTAGCCAACTTACGTACGAACGGACCACACTCGAGCAGCCTCGAATGGTATATTCCATACCCCTTGTTGAGAGGCGGCAATGCTTGTATGGCATACATGCATCCATTGGGCAGGCCGCAGCATAATTCGAAGCTAGTTTCAAGCCCAAGGCTCGAGAGAAGGGCCAGACTTGATACGAAGAATTCGGAGATGAATTTACGACCGCCATCGCAACGGGGCACTATATAGTAACTTAGCTAAGGTTTTGTGCCAACAAGACTTATAACTTTACGGTCGAGTACCAGGATACTGCTATTGTTTTCTCAAGAGGCTAGTGGCGGCGAATGTGGCAGTTCAATGGATCTACTAGTACAGTGCGTAAGCGCATACTAGTAGCACGCGATTTGATACTGAGCGCTGAGCTTCTGAGCCCTCATATCCATAGCCTCGAAATGTAAGGCCTTAAGGGCCCAATCTCCACCTCGTTCTTAATGTTACATATATGCTACAACATTCATGAACCCTTAAAATCCGGTAAGCTCCCAGCCAACCACTTCCATCCATGCGAACATTCCTTGGAATCATCAAATCGGGCGACAGCAATTGTTATCCTTTCAAAATTAGCAGTCACAACTCCGCGAAAATCTGTCGGGGTACGTTAGTTGAATTTTCAAGCATGCAGGCAGCACTCACATGAGGAGCTCTGAGAACTGACGGCGAAGTCGGCATAGACATCGACCTGGTACGTCGATGTCGAGAGAGAACGGCGTTGTTTGAATTTGAAGCAGCCATAGATTCCTCTGCATCATTCGTACTACCAGATGTGCCTCCGTCGATGTCGTGGATAGTATGAGATGAATCAGAGTAGTCGGTGCATACTGCCCTGCACTTTGATTCAACACTTGAATCTATCGATTGCTTTGCAGAGGATGGCACTGCCACAGACGTCGCCGATGTTTGTGTCTTAAGTTCTACAATGCCATTCTCTGCTCAAGCCCCGTTCTTCAGTGAGCAATTCACGTGGATGGTACTAGATCAGAAACTCACCAGAAGTCCAGGCCTCAGTTTCATGAGCCAGCTTGCAATTATTGCCGTTGGGGCAGTAGCCTGCTGTGAATGCCTTGCAAGGTAGCCCTGTGGGACATGTATCAACAAAATAATTGCGACCGACTATGGAGTACATACTATACCCACCCATCATTACACCACCACCAATCACTCGCCAGGTAATAGGATAATAATCGTGTGCCTTGACCTCTTCCTGAGGTGAATGCGGTTTTGGAGGCAAGTGAGATGACGCTGTCTCACGGGCCTGATTATCAGCTTTCTTTGCCGGTTTACTTTTCTCTACATCATGAAAACTGTAATGGCTTTACCAAAAAAAGATATCACATCAAGAGAGCACGTACAACCTGCATTTATTGCCCTTAGGACAGGTTTTGCGTGCTGAGAAGAATTTGCAAGGTTTAGCTGTTTTGTAATGATAAGCAACCAACCATGGCAGAAAGTAGCTATCGGAAAAACTCACTCCTATATAGGGTTTGCTTCTCCTTCGCCTGCTCTGCTTTTCTGCGGGTGGCGGCTCGAGGTTTCAAACCAGTTAGAGTATATCCTCGATCGTAACCAGGGTATGCCACATTGCCACAGCGTGTTCCCGCGTTGTTGGGATATTGTAAGCTTGGTGAGGATTGTGAGAACGCAGAAGGGAGATATTCTGAAGAGACAGGTTCTTCGATGGTCATGACTTGGAATGCGGCATGCAAACTCTGATCAGACGGGCTGGAGTTCGAAGAGACATCGCTGGAATTGTCAAAAGCGCCCCTCATGTCGAAGCGGTATGGTTCCACATGCGGGGCCACTGTGTATATGGCATACGCTGTGTAGCCACGACTATAGCCGCTGTCTTGGTCCCACCCCTTGAGTGGTGTTCTCGTGTGCACCTCGTGTCTGCTGGGGTAAGCATACACTAATGGCGGTATTCCTTTGGAATTCCTTGCATGTAAGTCTATGGGAGACGAAACGAACACTAGAGACACCATACCTTGTGGCGCACTCTCCGGTAGCGAATGCACAAAATGGCATGCTGAACCACGTCGACAATGTCCGGCGGCGTAGTAGCGACATATTCTCGTGTGCACGGCTTGTTCGTTGGAATAAGCATTCTCTGATGGCGGGGATTCTGCGATGTAAGTCCGCGGGAGACGAAGCAAACATAGAGATATCATGCCTTGTGGGACACTCCATGGTTGCAGATGCACAAAACGGCATGCTGAAGCACGCAGACAACTTCCAGTCGCATAGTAGCGACAAACTGTCGACGACTGTAAATGGGTTTTCTTCTCCTTAGCTGGCATGTAAGGGAATCGCTCTTCTGCGTCACTGCCTGGGCCACTGTCGACACTCATGAAAGCGCCAAATTGTCTGACGTATACTCACCGAAGTTAGAGCGGGAAGGCTTGGCCATTTAGATAGAAAGATAAAGAGAAAACACTGTGTTTGTTAAGGAAGATGAGAAGCAACGGCGCCTAAGCCTGGCTGTTACAAGAGGGTCCGCTATTCACGATCCAAGTGAGACAAAGATGCTCATAAAACGCAACCTTTCAGTTGCGAACTTGAATCGCGCACAATGGTTAAATCCGAAACCGGCTTAGCCCCGGTCTGGACTCTGGTAGAAATAAAGAGGGCCATCGACGCAAAACTCACCGCCGGTGCAGTTAGCTTTCTAGCCATGTGTTCGTTTTCTAGAGATTATGAACTCTCTTGGCTCGAGTAAACAGACTTACTAAATGGAACACGTTAAAGTGCAAAAATAACAACAATAAGAGAAAGACCCATACTGAGGCTATAGCTCCGGAGCTTGGCCCGTATATGTTCCTGTTTTGCCAATTATGCAGCTTGAAGGATATAACAAAGTGCGTCCATACGTGCCTTATCTTTTTGTCCCCTGGGCGCAAATGAGACTGGCGGTCATCGGATACTTGAGTTACAAAACCACATTGCACAACAAACTACAAGCTTTAAGAAGTAAACTCAATTTGGTAACAGGTTTTAAGATTGACCCCACCACGCGCGAGTACTTACGTTACTGATCAGTGATTATCGCCTCGAGTTACAGACTGGTAAGAGTACATCGGTATTATTGACTAGCACATGGTACTACAACTGAAAAACACGGTACACCGCAGTGCGCGATGCCCAGAGCGAACTAGAAGAGAACCCGAGAGGCCGCCTTATCATATATCATACAAAATAATTCAACACGATCATCATCATCATTTCATGTCATGAGCCGGTGCTGCCGCTGCGGTCACGAAGCAGGGGTGTCAGTTCCGTAACGGGAGGCGTAATAACAGACGAAGATATTGCATCAGAATCAGAACCCTGTTCATTAGCAGGTGCAGCACGCGGTTTATTTGCTTGGGAAAGATGCCAGGGCCTGGTGACATCTGCTTTGCAGACAGGACACTGTGAACAAGTAAGAATCACCATGCCCCAAACGATTTGAGATACAATAACCCACCAATTTCTTCCGATTGATCAACCACGAATCGACTTCCTCCAGATGGAAGATGTGATGGCATGGCAGCTCCCGGACGCAATCTCCTTTGACAAATTCCGATAAACAGATGGCACATTCCGCCTGCGACTCGCACCATGGTATCGGCGCATGGCTCAGTGCTTCATGAGATGTGGAGGGCGACGATGCACTATGATCTGAAGGACCCGACTCCAGATCAGCATCGTGTGCCCCGATTGAATGGGCTCCATGTGTCGTGGTTCCCTCATGTTTCTCCCATGCAGTGCCATTCCAGACCCGCCATGGAAAACCTTTGACAACATTTTCCGGAGCACGATCACGTTGTGCTGCACGAGCCATGCGGATGCGATGGATGAGAAGTGTGACGAATGTGAGACAAGAGGGCAGTATTAGGATGACGATGAATGTTAATATTGGGCTGAATGGTCGACTTTGAGCAGCGAACTGCGAGAGGACATTGAAACTCACGAATACCATTCCCAAGCTGAGTATTGAGTCGTGATCAAAAGTGAAAGCGTTTGTAAGCCAGCATGAGAGGTCGTAGACGAGCGTATTAACAGAGATAATTCCTTGTAATCCGACCATGTGATGTAGGTAGAAGCAATTTCGACGTCAGAAGCGTCGCCTGGAACACTTCAACTGTGGTTCGATGGTTGCATGAGAAAAGAGCGAACCTGTACTATACATATTGACAAGCATGTCTGGTTGACCGCTGATATCGGGATCTTGGCCCCCGATGACAACGGCCCTGGCACCCAGTCTCTGGGATTCCCTGACCTAACACGATATCAGAAAATCGGGTCGAGTATTCTGGACGAGCACACTCACTTTGTCCACGAAGGAGCATTGGCCTCTCTGCACTAGTGCGATCCAAGACTCGCTTGGATCCGGTTGGTGGGGACCACATATGCATAACTTTGGGCACCCTGAATTCGAATGACGGTCTACCGGTGAAGTATCGTTGCCAGGGCATGAAGTCGTGAATGAGGACAGTGGAATGACATAACCTAAGAGTGGCTCCTTGAGTTCCCGACCAAAAGCCGCAGGCCTTGAACGGAAGGTTAGAGGGGGTGACCGATCCACCACAGAAACAGAGCTTTCAGCGCCCCAAACCCAACCCCACAACCAACTGCCCTCTTGGGAGGTCGCAGACAGTTTGCGAAGGAAGCTGAATGGTTGGGCATAGACCTGAATTACAAAGAAAAGGAGCAATAAGACTAAGGACGCGCGAGCCATCATAATGCAAGCCTCCTGGTCACGGGAGGAAACACTTCAACGACAGCGATAAGGTGGGTGCTTGAGGTAACGGAACTAGGTATATGGAAATGACATCTTGCAAAAGCTGTTATGCGTGTTTGGAGCACCTTGTTCGGAAAAGTCCGGACATATAACTCGTTTGACCAACGTGAGCCACTTACCATTGGACACCTATAACGAGCTCACTCAGCCTCACTGTCATAATGCAACGCAGCCCGTCTGTGGTTTTGCTGCCTTGAACGAACGAACGGCCTACATGTGCACAACGCTTCATGACCCCCTAAAGTGCACAGATGGAGAACTCGGTTCAACCGATGGGCAGCTCCTTCGTGAACACTGGCCTTTCAGCGTATGTTCTGACATCCCTTCCTGACTTTGGTCGTCTTGCATCAGCAACCCTAGCTTCAAAATTAGTCCACAACATCTTTCAAGAGCATCCTCATTCTATCGCTCACTCTGTAACTTACAATTTGGTTTGGCCAGCGTTATCACAAGGGTTACACTTTGTCCGGTGTTCTAATGCAAAACCTGTTCCAAACCCGTTGCTGAATTTTTGGCCGAGGCTGATACTCAGAAAAACACATTGCTCTCATCACGAGCCTTGTCGCCTTTTCCAGTTCTGTTCAAGAACTCGAAAGGCTGTTCAGTTGGAGGTATCTTCGTCATCTTTTTGTGCCCCATCAGCCTCATTTGTTCCATCAGAATGAAAGACAGAGGATCCGACACACATCAGTTCTTCTGGCGGAGTCGACACGATTCCGGAAAGTGATGTGCAGATTGTTCCTTGTACTTTACTGTCTACGGTATCCATCGCTCGACGGTCTCCTCTAGCGCTTTCACTCTGAGATAGAGGAAGAAGATAGTCCAAAAGCCATGAAACTACGAAGGGGTTTCTTTCAACTCTTGAGCTGAGAGAAATTCAGGTTGAAACGTTTTATTAGCTCGGATTGCTGCCGTCCATGAGTTACTGCTCGAAGAATGAGAACGCAAGCACCCCCATTCATGCTCTACTGGCTCGTTATGAGCGCATGTACTAAGCGGTTTAGTATCCTTGCGGTTTACCACGATCCCTGCGAAATACTTTAAGGAGGAACTCTCTTCCATGATCTATGCGACCGGGACTCTTACCGGTACGAAGTCTGGTACAAACACCTCATTTCAGGGCCTTCAAACTGTCCTGACTGGTAGGAATGAACACTACCTCCATCCCGTTGACGACAAACACCCTATAGCGGTCAATGTCAATGCGATAGTTTTAAGGGACCAGAGTTATGGGGACCAAGTAGCAAATCAAAAATTCACAGCCAACAACATATAATTAACCCTGAGCTATCGCAGACCGCTCCAGCGCCTTCCGCTCGTTCATTCAACCATTCAATTGCTAAAAGGTCGCCCTAGTGAAAACCGTACAGACGTAAGTAATTCAAAAATTGGCATTTGGGCGGCTGATTGTTCGACTAGCTACAATACACGGGCTTATGACACGTGGAACAAAGAGGACCCGGCTTGGGGGAAGTTCATGAGCGACCATTTCTACCTTTGGTACTTGAGGAGGGCAGGTCAAGTGTAAGCTTCTGCCCTTGCTCATTTTCGATGTCTGTTCACCCCCTGCTTACCAGGAGGACTCATAATTCCATAAAACTGCTGGCATGGATATAACTACCGTATCCAAAAACAAAACAAAAATGTGAGTTCCTGCGAATCGGGAGCTGAATTTGTTCTGGTTGTATTAGTCTATCACGAGAGATGACTCGAGAGCAACCTATGATTCTCGAATCATAGTGCGTTCATGACATATCTCGTTTCGAACAATTTGTATTTTAAATCCGATCATTACTTGAGCCTGCAGGGTCTGCTGTGAGACCTGAAGTGCGCTGAGCTGGGCTAAAATGAGATCTGGTCAGAGAACATGATAGTACCCAACAGAAAGAGTCGGTGGTGAGGTGTACCTCGTACGAATGATCTATGCTATTTGAGTGCTCGCTTTATAGGCAGAATCCGAGGCGATTTGAAGAAGTGTTACTATATAATAAGCCGAAAGTCGACGTAAATCGATCGAAACTTGGTACACCCAATAGTAATGGGAACAGCAGGATCATGGTATTGTGAAGCCAGAACAGATATCGTTGTTCGAGTCATAGCATAAGTAGTTGATAAGTAGGCAATAAGTAATCGTAATTGTGACATAGTACATAGTGTAGCATATTCATATCACGCTCCGCGTATTCAAAGACAAAATAAAATGATCACTAATACTCCTCGTCCGAGCCCTCGTCAAAGTCCGGCATGATGTCTGTCATCTCGTTCCACGCTTGACGAAGTTGAGAAACTACCTCCATCACAGATCCCCTATCACCGTTCCAGCCGGCGAACGAAGCCGAGCGACGAATGACGCGTGATCGTCGGGTGTCTGTAGTCTGTCTGGCTTGATGGTGAACCAAGGTAGGGGGCCTTGAGCTGTCCTCCATGCGATCCTGAAGTCTTCCCCAAGCAGCTTCTTCCTCGGCTTCTTCTTCTTCCATTTCTTGTAATATAGCTCCAGTAACCGACGACTCTCTTCGAATTTTCGTGCTCGGCGGGACAGTCTGTTGAATCTTTTTACGGAACATTGCGAAGATTGAATTACGAATGCCCTTGTTAAGCCCCGGTTTAGAGGGCAAGGAGCGCTTGAGGGTCCGTTGAGGCGGATCAGATTGTTGTGTGTCAACGGATTCATTTCGTGGTTCGAAGGGCTGCTGGGGAACAATAGTGGTCGTGCCTTCTTCCAATGTTGGGAGGGTCTTCACTGGCTTGGGGGAACGTGAAGACTGCTGCAACGCAGAAGCGCGCTTCGAGATAGAAACACTGCGAAGCTGGTGCTCCGACTTGTGCCTCGAGAGCGCATGTTGTGGAACAGCCGGGCTGGCACATGCCCTCTGCATAACGTTGCGATAATGGTAGTCACCTTGACCACCTAGAGTGCGCAATGAATCGGCGCGAGCACAGCCAGGAGAGCAAAAGCAAAAATCGTGATCTTCGACCGTCGGTTTGCCGCAAAAACATTCTTGGACACCGATATGGACCGATGCAAAAGCGTTGGTGAAGATGAGAGGGTTCATTCTAAGTGATCAGAGACTTACAACCGCCGTCATGTACAAGGGTTTGACAAGGGTTTTATAGCTATTGAATCTGCATGGTTTACTGTGGCGGACCACTCATATAGTGGACTGTGGATCAGTGCAGTTGTGGTCATTCGGGAGTGTCCGATGGCTGTCATCGTGTAAAGTGAATGCAAAGCGGAGCTGTAAAGAGCACAACACCCACCCAATATGGGAGATGAATTCGACACAGATGTCTGACCTCCACATGGGAGTTGTCTTTGGACTAGCAATGACGTTGTGGATATTCGGGAATTTCCACTAGCTCATGTCGATGTGTAAGATTAGTCCAACTTGAAACTTGCCGAGCTGCACTTGATTTGAATTCAGGATTAGATACACTTGTGATTCGTCGGCAGAAACCATTACAGAAGAGCCGGGCAATCAGACAGCTGTAGTTGCATGGAGTTTCTTCATATCTAAGCTGGGGCATGGCGCGAATGATTTCCTGAAAACACCAGTGGCTTAGTCTGCTAGCAGCTGGTAAAGTCAACGGCAGAGAGCTTGTCGCCAAAGTACGGAGGCGAACGACGGTCTGCCCAGAGCTGACCGATAAAGATTAGGTTTTCGCCCTGTGTTCCCTCCATCGCCACAATTATAAGTTGCAGAATTGCTTTAGACAGGACCTCTGATCGGGGAGATGGACTGAGTCTAACAATGTCATATTAAATATATACATATGAAGGAGTTCAGTCCTCGAATCGGTGCCTCGTCGCGATCCGCAAGTTGCAATACTTGTGTGGAAAGTATCAAGACTGAGCTAGACAGATCATCAATGAAAAAGAATGACGATAGTCGTTACTTCTTACTATGAAACTGACTTCTATGCCAGGGCCTTGATCGATGATCTCTGTATGCCGAGTGTTCAAAGTGGTGGAAGGTCCAGAAACCCGCCAATTGGAATCGCAGAATGGAAATATGAGATCATTCAGTTCTAAGTTCCGCTGGCAGTTGACTAGGCCCGGGAGCGAGACGTAGACGTACGTAATTATACAGATTCATGTAAATCAAGTTTTCACACGGTTGGTCGCTGCAGAAACAACCATTTGAATGCGCTCCTTGACTATATCATGATTCATATGGAGCGCTGTGGATAAGCCAAGTGGCCCCAAACTGGCCAGCTCAGCCTGAAATTTATTGATTATAAGTTGACCGCGGACCTTCTCGAATGTAACCACGATCATTTGCCTGACATCGTTCTTCGGTTCTTGCATGGCATCGTACATTCCGTACTGGAGTTATAAAGACGAGGTCTGCAGCTTTTTGCAGACCATTTCCCCTCAGGTCAATATGTGGCGCTCCCTCAGGTTTGCCTCTACGCTTGGGCTTTGCGCTTCAGCGTTTGGCCAGTCAAGTACGGTGGACTCGTATATAAGTACTGAGTCCCCCATTGCCAAAGCTGGTGTACTTGCAAACATCGGCTCCAGTGGTGTTGAGTCGTCTGGAGCTTATGTGGGTTCTGAAGATACCAAGTATTTGAACTGCTGACCGAGATTCATGCAGCCCGGCGTGGTCATCGCCAGTCCTAGCACCACTGATCCAGACTACCTGTACACATGGGTTCGGGACTCTTCGCTCGTTTTCAAAATGCTCATTGATCAGTACACCTCCGGGCAAGACACCACCTTGCGTGGTCACATCAATGACTTCATTGCCGCCGAAGCAAACATACAGCAGGTCCCCAACCCAAGTGGAACTATCTCCACTGGTGGCTTAGGCGAGCCCAAGTTCAACATCAATGAGACTGCATTCACTGGGGCTTGGGGTCGTCCCCAGCGTGGTATGTATAATAAATGCGTAGTTGCATACTATCGCTAACAGGAAAACAGATGGTCCTGCGTTGCGTTCAACCGCCATGATCACCTATGCAACTTGGCTTATTGCCAACAAAAATGAGACATACGTCACCGACTCCCTTTGGCCCATTATCAAACTCGACCTAGACTACATCATGAACAATTGGAACGAGACGACGTGAGTTTTGCTTAATTCAAGCACTCTTGTCCTGAGACTCACACAACGGTTAAGCTTCGACCTGTGGGAGGAGGTTGATTCCTCTTCATTCTTTACTAGCGCTGTTCAGCACCGCGCACTTCGTCAGGGCTCTGCTCTTGCCACTGCGATCGGCCAAAGTTCAGTTGTCAATGGATACAATACTCAGGCCAACAACATTCTCTGCTTCCTCCAGGTGCGTACTGCGAGTCTTTCATGTAGTAATTTTCCCAAAGCGAGCATCTCAATAGTCATTTTGGAACCCATCACCTGGCTTCATGACCGCCAACACCGGAGGGGGCCGTTCTGGCAGAGATGCGAACACAGTGTTGACATCCATTCACGTCTTTGACGTTGAAGCTGGCTGCGATGGTGTTACTTTCCAGCCCTGCTCTGATGTTGCTCTATCCAACCTCAAAGTCTATGTCGACTCTTTCCGTGAGATATACGGCATCAACGCTGGCATACGTGCCGACCAGGCTGTTGCAACTGGACGGTACCCTGAGGATGTGTACCAGGGTGGTAACGTAAGGTTTTTATCCTATTCCTGATCTTATTTCTCAACTGTCCGTAGCCGTGGTACTTGGCATCCTTTGCAGTTGCCGAGCAGCTCTACGATGCCCTCATCGTGTGGAGTAATGAAGGCTTGCTGACGGTAACAGATGTCTCTTTCCCCTTCTTCCAGCAGTTCGACGCAAGCATCAAGCCAGGGACCTACAGCTCCTTGACTCCAACTTATAGCACCCTCACAACAGCGATCAAGAATTTCGCAGACGGTTTCATTGCTACAGCTGCGAAGTACACTCCCTCAGGTGGAGGACTGGCTGAGCAGTATACCAGGAGCGACGGCACACCGACCAGTGCTTTCGATCTTACGTGGAGCTATGCATCTGCGTTGACTGCGTTTAATGCAAGGGCTGGTAAAACATCTGCCAGTTGGGGTGCTGCGGGTCTTTCAGTTTCCCCCGCATGCTCTACTAGCAAGGCCTCAACCGTTCCAGTTATCTTCAACGTCAACGCTACTACTGTCGTGGGACGTGAGTTGATCAATGCAGCGGACGTGACCAAGTTTATTCAATTCTGCCACCTATAGAGAACATATACTTGACTGGCTCTGTCGGTGCTCTGACTGACTGGAGCACCACCAATGCTATTCTCATGTCCTCAGCTGACTACCCAACCTGGAGCAGTGCGTCTAATCTTTTTTTTCAAGTGCAACATGTACTAACACCAAGTCCTAGCGGCCGTCACTCTTCCAGCGAACACACAAATTCAGTATAAGTACATCATCGTCAACAATGGTGACATCACTTGGGAATCTGATCCCAATAATGAGTTCACAACGAGCATGTCTGGCATTACAACCCTGAACGACGTGTGGCGGTAATACATTCTGGACGGACTTCTTGTTAATGATAGCACAATCATACCCATACCCAATCAGTTTCCATGACTTGTTGCGAGTTGCGTGACCACGGATAACGATGAGCGTGTATCTGTTACGTAAAATGCCGTAGTACTGCCTTGGCCGAGCTGGCGCAGGCTGATAATACTACTTATTAGTATAAGCAATTCACGACACACTTGATATCTTCCTTAAGTTCTCATCATGTCCATGCTAGACAAATTCAGGAAGGGCGCACAGAAGGCGGGCATTCAGGCCACGGCTCTCGTTAAAGAGGGCTCCTCGCGCGTGGCGAGTGGCTCTAGAGACTTCGTGCAAGGATTCACGCTGCCCGGGGAAGCTGAGAAGGCAGCAAAGATCCTTGAGAGTTTCCTTGGTGCGCATATTCCTTCCAACGACATCGACAACATCACTTGCTGAATGCTTTGCTGCCACAGCTAACCCCAATCATCCCGAATCTGCACTCAACTCAGTACCTACAGCCGTTCTCCAGCGTGCAAGAGGTGACATTCATCCAATCTCAGCTCACCCTCTCTCACTCACTAATGCGCTCAGGTCTCGCCGTATTCCAAGTGCTCAAGGCTGGATTCATGTTCAGCGGGAAAGCTGGCTCTGGTCTAGTCATCGCGCGGCTCCCGGACGGATCATGGTCTGCGCCCTCGTGCATAGCAACCGGTGGACTCGGGTGGGGCCTCCAAATCGGCGCGGACATCACAGATTTTGTGATCGTACTGAACAGCGAGGATGCAGTCAAGGCATTCAGCATAGGCGGAAACGTCACCATCGGCGGAAACATCAGCGCCTCAGCGGGCCCTATCGGCACTGGCGGGAGCGTCCAGGCCACCTTGGCTCACCCTGCACCCATGTTCTCATACTCAAAATCGAAGGGTGAGATATCTTATATTTCATCTTGGTCGATTTTCATTTTGACCGTAATGTAATTGTTAACATGATGTGCTGATACTTGCCACAGGTCTTTTCGCTGGTCTCTCGCTGGAGGGCACTGTTCTTATAGAGCGGAAAGACGCTAACCGCGACTTCTACGGATCACCTGTACCTGCACGCGATATCCTTGGCGGGCGTGTGCCTCCACCCGAAGTTGCATCGCGTCTGTACGAGATTATCGAGGCTGCGGAAGGACTGGATGAGACAGGTGTCCCGCAAGCTGCATACGTGCCTAGTGCTACTGGCGAGCATATGAACATCGGAAGTAATCACATGGTGTTTGATGCGGAAGCACATTAATGCTTGGTACCGGCTTTGAGTAGGCAGTGGTGTATATATGAGCTCCATGCTTTTCCCTTGTATTGATTTTTCTCCAGTTCTCATGGTGTAGATCTTATACCTGATTGCAATCCCATCATGTCAAATCATTTAATTATTCGGGGAGGGTAGCAAATATAATGCATATGTAGCACATCCAGGAAGGTATCAACATCCAGTAATGTGACGAGTAATGATAGCATTTAAAGCATCTAAAGCAGCTCGACTTCAATATATATGAAGTTCAAGCATCTGGCAAGACAAATGTATCCCAAAATCCAGCGGTTCCGTTGGTTGTAGC